GACCTCAGAGCCCCTTGCAGTGCCTAAAGGAGCTCCAAGAGAGCTGGAGAGGGACTTGGGACAAGGGATGGAGGGACAGGACAAGGGAGAATGACTTTAAGCTGAGTGAGGGTAGATTTAGCTAGAAAGAAATTCCTCCCTGGGAGGGTGGGCAGGCCCTGGCACAGGTTGCCCAGAGAAGCTGTGGCTGCCCCTGGATCCCTGGGAGTGTCCCAGGCCAGGTTGGACGGGGCTTGGAGCAACCTGGGCTGGTGGAAGGTGTCCCTGCCCATGGCAGGGGGGGAACAAGATGGGCTTTAAGGTCCCTCCCAGCCCAAACCCTTCTGTGATTCTGTGAAACAATAGTCAGGTGCAGCTGACATGTCTGAAGTTCACTGAGGAGCAGAGCAAGTCCCTGACTTCCCCTGTCTGGGATCTGCTGACTGTTCCCCCAGAGCACTGCCTGTCACTGCCCAACTCCTGACTGTAGGGCAGACCAGAACCTGCTCATAAATCCATGGGAAACCAACAGGCAGCTCCAGAGGAGACAGCTGGCAGCAGGTCCCACAGATGATTTCGTGTCTCCAGACCACCCCTGTTAAGAAGAGTAGCTGTGGTACGTGAGCAAAAGTACATATTTGGCACACAGATGTGAAAATGTAATGATCTGAGCAAATGTTCATTCTGCTGATGGTAGGTATTTGATTCCTGTTCCTGGGTCAGAAGCACCTCTTTGGTTTTCCTTTCTTTGTCACTAATATGGGTCAGGGATGTTCCAGCTTCTGCGTGACAGAGCTGAGCCCTGCCCTCGTTTGCTGACCTACTGCTCCTGCTTGTCTCACCAGACAGATCTTGATCTGTCCAAAATGAGACAAAATTAAATAGCCATCAGTAAATGCAGCTATGTCACTTTAAGTATGAAAGGAGGAAAAAACCAACAATCCCTGCCCCCCTCCCCCAAGAAAACAGTATTTATAGGCTAGCTGGACACTAGTCTTTAGGTCAAGAAGTATAGGTAAGATATCCAAGTGTTGAAAGTTGCTTAATGTTTTTTAATGCTAGTGAAAATTCAAGGCTTTAAAAGGGAGGAAATTAAAGAAACACTGTGAAACTGCAAAGCAGCACACAACCTTTTAGTTGGCAACAGCTGTGCTCCAAACCCTGCTGCTACATGGTCCTGGGCACTGAATGTGAAAAATTTGTGTGGTCTTATTTGCAAGAACCCCTTTCTTTGTGGTGGGAGGGTGGAGTTGATTCCCAAGTCTGTTTGCCCCTCACAAAGAGTTAGGGAAGCAACTTGACCTCATTTTTTTAATCTCTGAAATCTTCTGAAGGCTCAGGTGAAAGCCAGTCTCCCGCTTGTGTATCTTTCAGAGCCTTAGTCAGAGCCCATATGTTACAACCTGGAGGAAATGATGCTTGGGGATGACTAACAGAACATGTTCCTGCTGTTAATTTGGGTGCCATTCCAGAAATTTAATTTGTAAGCTTTCCCTTTTCCTTTTGTTAACACATTTACTTACTAATTCCCGTTTCTGCTGTTGTTCCCCACTAAGGAACTTAATGAAGGGATAAATTTTATATTAACAGAGGGAGGCATTTTTTCACCCTGTCTTTGGTGAGCATTAAGAAGCAGAGAGCATATACATGTGTTGGATTAGCAGAAATTTGGTTATGGATTCACTTTATTGGAGCTTCCTGCTGCAAACATCGTGCAACTCCAGTTTGAATGGGTGTGGGATTTACCAAGACTGAGGCTGTGAAGTGCTGATTGGGAACTCAGCAGCTCAGTGTGATTGCTGGGGGCTTTGGAGGGTTGGATTTTATTTTGCCTTGGTGCTGAGGAGTGGACTTGGGGACAGCTTTCAGTTCTCTGAAGTGGAATTACAGCGTTGCCTCCCGAGCCTGGACTCTGTGTCCCAGCAAGGAGGGAAAGAGCCAAGGCGTGTGAATGGGGGCACACGTGTCAACACCTGCAAACTGATACTGGTATCTCCTGTGTCACATTGAGAAGAATGTATTCTGAGTCTCAAGGCTCATGCCTTGAGGAAGCCCAGGGTAGCAGCAGTGCCATGGATGCAGTGGAGCTGGTTTGTCACTCGGGGGGATGCTGCTGTTGCACTTGGGAAGCCACAGAGGACCAGGGTTGTCATGTGTATCTTGCCATCCCTGAGTTTCCTGTCCAGAGGTTGGAGACATCTGCTGCTGCAGAGAGCACAGAGGTTTTGACTCCTTGGGTGAATCTGGAAACTCACTTTATTCACCCACATTTTCACAAATCTGAGTTAGGCAAAAGGTGCCTTAAGTCTCGTTGAGTGGATTTAAGCCAGCGTGGATGGGACTTGGAGCAACCTGGTGATGTCCCTGCCCGTGGCAGGGGAATAGGAACCAGGAGATCTTTAGGGTCCCTTCCAACCCAAACCATTCCATGAGTCTGCGATTCCCTTTCTTTGGCGTGACCTTTCCAAAGAAATCCTGTTCTCCCTCTTACAAGTGTGATGCCCCAAGGTTGTTTCAGGCTTATACCCTTAGCTTTGGGAGGAGGGCATTTCACCTTGTGTGGATTATGCGGTGGGGAATGAGTGTCTGTGACCTCAGTAAAGGTTTCTCGGGTTTGGATTAGACCCTGACTCACGCAGTTAAACAGGTGGTTTTGCTTCTTCAGAGTAGAAAACACTTCAACTGTTAAGCCCTGTCAATCAGCTTATGCTTTCACCAGCGACTCATGTGTCAGGTTCAGCCTGGAGGAATTTAGAAGGAGGGTGGTTGAGCCCTTGTGGCACCAGGGACCCCTCCCGTGGTGGAGGCTGCAGCCAGCAGGAGTGGCTGCTCTGCCCTGGCCCTCACCTTGCCTCTCCAGATGAAGAATGACGCTTAGCTGTCATTCTGATGCAAAAAAAATCCAGGTTCTTTCTACTGTAGTTACAGATTAAGCACACATTTGTCTCCCACAATCACTTTATTGCAGTTGCCCAAATGATCTGCACTCATAGTATGTGGAATATACAGAATATGATTGTCTGCTGAAGGATGTTTTCAAAAGTTACCATTAAAGTAGCAGTGGAAAAGTTCTCACAGTGCTCAGAAATCTGGAAATAAGAGTGAAAGACTATGGTATTACTTTTTTTTTTCTTTTTTTTTTAAATTGGAAAGTTTTTGCAAATCTGCTGGATCTGTGTGGCTGCCTCTCCCTTTCTCTGCCAGCTTCCACTCTCCTCTTCCTGCCTTCACAGGCACTTGCTCCTTTTCCTCCCTAATAGCAGTGTGTGATTTATTCGACAGGGTTTAAATTAGGAGGAAACTCAGCAGTAGGGAAGAAGTGATGGATTTGAGAGCAGTTCTGGGGCTCTTCTGGCCTGGCTCATTAGACAGCCTACCTTTTTTTTTTTTTTTTTTTTTTTCCCCACTTTTCTTTTTTTGTGCCTTATAAAAAAGCCAGCTGCTGCCTGCTGTCCCCATGGGAGGGCAGGGGGTGCTCCTGGCTGCCCTGGGAGACCCAGGCATTGGAACCTGCAGGCACCCTGCCCTGCCCTGCCCACCCCGATGGCTGCTGCTGCTTCGGGGCAGTGTCAGCTCTGATGCTGCTTCGTGAATCGCAGAGAGAACTGAGAACCCCCTCATCAGCCCTGGTGTGAATGGAAATGACCCCCCCCCATGCACACACAGAACTGGGGACAGAGTTTCTGTCACCCAAGAAGAGCCAAATCGTGGTTCTGACCCTGGGTTTCCTCTTGGGAAGTTTCCACATGAAGCCGACTTGTTTGTAGCCGTTGGGAATTCTTGTTCCCATCTTGAGTTGTTTGGGATTGTGGGTGAGGGCAGGCTGTGGAAATGGACAGTAACTGATCCCTCTGCAACTTGGCTGCAGATCAGCTGGGTTCCCATTTAATTCAGGCCGTGTGATAAGAGCACAGCTCACATAGAAGTGCCCGAGTGACCCAAGATGTCTGAGGTTAAAATAAGAACTCATAAATCTTGGTGATTGGCGAGCCTTTGGCTCTCTGAGTAAGAGCAATTACACAACTGGGCCTTCTTAAGACCCCAAAATCTCCATTTCTTGGGCAGGGGAGGGCAGTGCTTTGGCCAGGGGGGCAAACCAGGCAGATGTGGTGGTGGGGTCTGGGGTGGATCTCCCCTTTTGCTCTGTTACATCAATTAAAGAGGTCAGAGTGAGTATCCAAGCTGCCTGTTGGCGTTCTCCTTGTGCTGGTGAGGTCTAGACAGCCCAGGAGCTTCTGCTGGGCTGTGGGAGGGGGAGAGAGGCTCTGCATGGGCTGGGCAGGAGCCAGGAGCTTATGGGAAATGCTCTGAAATTTCTATAGGAAAATCAGAGCAGTAGAACATGACATTTTCACGTTTCTAATCTGAAGTATTTCCGTGCACGAGCAGCCCGTGGAAGAGACTGAAGAAACACTTCCTTTGCCAAAAAAAGGGGCAAAGTCTGTGAAATCAGGCAGAGCAGCAAACACATAGGAAAATGGGCGTGTTTGAGTTTGTTTAGAAGGTGGTATGGTTTTAATTTACCCCGAGATAAATGGGCTGGGCTGTAGAGCCTGGGTGGTGAGCGGGGACCTCAGCTGGTGGTCCCTGCTGGAGCATCCAGGAGCAGCTGTGGGTGGAGGGAGCCATCCCAGCTGGGAGAACATTCATATCTGGAAACGAAATCCTGTGGGCAATAATCCCTTGAATAACGAGCCTCCCAAAACCCAAACATGAAGAAATAGCTGAGGGTTGATCCATCAATCCGTGGGTGTGTTCACGGTGCCTGAAATATTAGTGCTGTCACGAGCATGGCGTAGCACAGGCATCTCTTTGTCTTCTTGACGCTGGATTTAGGGCGAGTGCCCTAGTTCATCCACGCTGCTCATCCCTTACATAAAAGCTTTTATAATTGCTCTCGACACAAGCACAAAAAAAAAAAAAAAAACCAAAAAACAAATCCAAAATTCTGAATGCCCTGGCCATGCGGTGCCTTTATTTTTGTCCGTCGCCGCTAATAATGTCTCCTCTCTGGCTTGCAGGACAGAAAGCTCACAAAAGTGGAGAGGCAGAGATTCAAAGAGGAAGCGGAGATGCTGAAAGGCCTGCAGCACCCGAACATCGTGAGGTTTTACGACTTCTGGGAATCCTGCGCGAAAGGCAAGAGGTGCATCGTGCTGGTTACCGAGCTGATGACCTCTGGAACGCTGAAGACGTAAGCGCTGCGCTCCCCGGGGCGAGGTGGGGTGGGGTGGGGGGGGCTAAGAATAGCGCTGGGAATTTATAGCAAAATCCTACTTTCCTGCGCTGAAAAAAGCCATCTCCAGATGAAAGCGAAAAAAAAAAAAAAAATGGAGCTGTTCTCTGGTGCCTGTCGTTTGTCCCTGCGTTTTTGAACTGCAGGGGTTTGACAGGCGGGATTTTGGCCTCCATCTCCCGCTCTCCTGTCTCGGTTACGCAACTCGAAGCTGTTCTCTGGCGCGTTTCATCTTCCGCCTGTGACGTTTGGGGGTTGTCGGGGTGTGTTTTGTTGCTTGCTTTTTGTGCTTGTTATCCGCGTGTTTCGTCAGGAAATTCAAGTGGAATAGCGCTTGAATGGGTGGAATCGCTTTTATAAGCGGAAGGTGCTCAGGGTTACCTCCTAAACAATATTAATTAATAGCTTCTGGTACTGATGGTTTGTTAAGGTTGGTATAAAGCAGTTGGCATGAATTCTGGAACAGATTTGCAGCCCCAATGGGAGCAGTACTCAGCCAGTGTGCTCCTCTGCCAGTGCATTAGCAGGTCCTACATCTTCCCCAAAAGTCCCCTCCCAGTTAGAGCCTCAGGTAAATGGAAAAACATGCAGATGCATGGTGCAGAGGTCGATATCTTGTGGTTAAAATTAAGCTTCAGTGTGGTTCTGATTTGAGGATATGAACATATTCTAAGGCTCTGCATGAAATAAATTGCTGAACTATTAAACTTGCAAATATTTGGTTGTATTTGCAGCAAAAATGCTTATTATCTTCCTCCCTAAAATTGAATGCTCTAATTCCTGCTTTGAAAAGATCTATTTCTTTCAATTTTGGGATATTTCTGTGCTGCTATTATGGCATCTAATAAGGGGCTTTTATCCATAATGGAGTTTCAGCTGTTAAAGCCCCCGGAATCTCTAACAAAATGTTTTCATTTCCTTTATTCCCACTTGTGTGTGTGTTTGTGCTCTAGGTATCTGAAGAGATTTAAAGTGATGAAACCAAAAGTCCTGCGGAGTTGGTGCCGGCAAATCCTGAAGGGTCTTCTTTTCTTGCACACAAGAACTCCACCAATAATTCACAGAGACTTGAAATGTGACAATATTTTTATTACTGGACCAACTGGATCTGTGAAAATAGGAGACTTGGGTCTGGCAACCCTCAAGAGAGCTTCTTTTGCCAAAAGTGTAATAGGTAATGCTCCTGCCCTCCTTGGCTTCACTCACTCGGTGTCGTGGTTGTCTGTTTAATATCTTTCTTTCCCATTTTGCATTAGTGGTTTGTTATTTTAGGCTGATAGTAGAGGTTAAAGCATGTTTGGGGCTGTTGCCTTCATACCACTATAAAAATGGGAGTCAGTAGGTAATGGTATCATAATTTGCTGTTCTCTTTCCTCCTGTATCCCAGTGGTAAAACACCTTTTCCTTGGCTCGTTAAATGGAGTGCTATTTGGGATCCACAAATTCTTCTCTCTCCTTCAAAAGCAGCAGCAGGGGTTCAGCAGCTTGTGTGTATCCTCCTTTGAGAACAGCCTCTCCATGCCTGCTTGGAGGGAGAATCAGAAGGACAGGGAAGAGGGAGGATGGAGGGATACCCTGTGCTCTCCCTAAGAAGGGAGCACTGCAGAAACCTGGGAATTCTTCTGCCTCCAGGGGTGCTGGGATGGGGCTGGTTGTTGCTGCTGATGAAAGGAGAGGCTGTGGTGCCTCTCTCCTTTCCAGGGGGACTGTGGGGAGCTGGGTTGGCTGGAACATCATATCCCAGTACCTTAAGGGACCTACAAGAAGGCAGGAGAGGGACATTTTGCAGGGGCCTGCAGTGGTAGGACAGGGGGTTATGGCCTTAAACTGAAGGAAGGTGGGTTTACATTAATTAGATGTTAGGAAGAAATCCTTCTCTGGGAGGGTGGGCAGGCCCTGGCACAGGTTACCCAGAGAAGCTGTGGCTGCCCCTGGATCCCTGGAAGTGTCCAAGGCCAGGTTGGACGGGGCTTGGAGCACCCTGGGCTGGTGGAAGGTGTCCCTGCCCATGGCAGGGGGTGGAACAAGATGATCTTTAAGGTTCCTTCCAACCCAAACCATTCCATGATTCTCTGATTCTCTGATATGCTGTATCCAATGCCCTGGGCTTGTGCCCATGTGAGAAGTGTTAGAACTGGGGTTTGCTTGAACTGGGAGAACATTTTCCAAGTGACTGTGGAAGGACATTGTTCCCTTGCCAAAGTTCCAGTGAGTGTTTTGGGTGCAAATGTAATGTTTTTCCTGAATTCTCAGTTTGTCTTTTCGCCCAAACAAACTTCGTATCCAATCTCCCTAGTTCAGACCTGCAGGTGATGTTTCTGGGAAGCTGAAAATTCCTGAGTAATGCTGGAAGGGGAAGAGGACGTACCATGCATGTATTTCAGCTTACAGTATAAATGGAAATTAGATTCTAGTCAGTAAGAGTTTGCAAACTGAGAGTGACAGCCACTGGTCCCTGACTAGCTATGGAAATAGCACTTTATCTCTCAGGCACTAGTTGCTTAAATAATTATTTTAGCATCTCAAAATTTCAGATATTATTATTCTTGTAAAATCATTTGCAATTGCTTGCACAAAAATATTGTCCTTCATGCTTAGGGAGCCCAGTGTCATTGAAGTCAAAAAGAAATTTTGGATACATGCTTGGCTGCTCTGGGTCTGCCTAACCTCATGGTTTTTAGTGAAGTCATGTTTGTTTATATTTGTTCAGTTTCTCTGGGTTTTAACTTCTAATAATTGATGGTCTTTTTCTGTTGAGGGTCAGTATTTCTTCAGATAATTGTTTGGCAGGATAACAATTGTCCATTGGACATAATGGAATAATATCAATAATAGCAACAGCAGGAATAATGCAAGTAATACCAATATTGGGAAGAATATCAGTAATACCAGTACAGGGTTTTGTGAAACTAGCAGTGAACCATCAAAATATACTCATGTTGAAGAGGAATTGGGTAGTGAAAGGGCTGCAGGATGCTGGCAACGTGGCTGCATTCGTTTTGGCAATAAACCCGAGCCTATCATTTCCATGAGTAGCGCTGCTCCAAGGAGAGAATCAGGAAGGCTTGGAAACACTGGTGATGAGTAATTCTGCCTGCTCTGCAGAGGTAGCAGCTTTAAAGGCATATTAGTAGCTGCAATTTTACATTGGCTTGGAGGGATGAAGTCAGCATGGCTGGGGTCCAGTCCCTCCCTGGCTGTGCCCGTGCCGTCACCGGTGCTGCCCTGACCTTGCGGTGTCTCTGTGGGAGCTGAGCCAGGGCAAACCTCGTCCTGCCAAGAGGAGCTGAGGGGATGCTGAACACCTTTACCTTTAGGTGGTCTGTTTTGTTGAAGGACACTTGTATGTATTCCTTCCTCACCCCAAGCAACGGGGGGAAATGTCATTTTTGTGCCGTTATGGAACGGTGTCAAGAATTCCATTTGCTTCTTAGACTGTTGCTGTCACATCTTCAGATTTGCTTCAAATGCTCTGTAATTCATGAGATTCGCTCCTGCTGCTGAGCAGTGCTCCTTCTGAAACGAGGCATCAGCTCCAGAACCATTCCCTGTGGCAGCTGTTAACCCTTTCTGAGCAGCAGCCTCTGCCTGGGTGACAGGTGGGAGAAACACCCAGGGAGCAGGCACGAGGCTGAGCTTCTGTGACACAGGTCCAGCTGATTGACCAAGGCTGGAGGAACGAGTGTCTTTTAGGTGGAAGGGACATAAACAAGGGAAGAGATCAATCCTACATTTTGCAAAACGAATTTTACCAGCAGCGCTTGTGCTGAGGCTTGTTTTGTGAGTTAGGCCGAGTCTCCTTCAGAAAATGTGCAGCAGCAGAGGTTTTAACTGGCAGGCCCTAATTTTGGGAGTCATCTTTGATGTTGCCATTAAAAAAAGGTTTAAGGCAAGTCATAGAATCCTAGAGGCACAGAATGCTTTGGTTTGGAAGGGACCATAAAGATCATCTCGTTCCAACCTCTGCCATGGGCAGGGACACCTTCCAGTAGACCAGGTTCCTCCCAAGTCCCCTCTGACCTGGTCTTGGACAGTTCCAGGGATGGGACTTCCACAACTTGTTTAGGGCCTTGGATGATGGCTTCCAACTGGAGGAGGGGAGATTTAGATTAAATATTAGGAAGAAGCACATTACTGTGTGGGTGGGGAGGCCCTGGCACAGGTTGCCCAGAGAAGCTGTGGCTGCCCCAGCCCTGGAAGTGTCCAAGGTCAGGTTGGATGGGGCTTGGAGCAACCTGGGCTAGTGGAAGGTGTCCCTGCCCATGGCAGGGCACTTGAAATGAGGTGGGCTTTAAGGTTCCTTCCAGTCCAAACATTCTGTGATTCTTTATGCAAGAACTATTTCTTTTCATTATATGTTACTTAATTACAGTTGTGCTTTTGCTGCTGATGTAGAGATGTCATAACAAAGTAATAACGAGCATTACTACTGGAATTATTCACAATTATTACTGATGGTATCTGCCAGGGCTGGGGGCAGTTTGGGTGCTGAGGTTGGACAGGCAGAGTTTATCTGGGTCCTTCTCGTGGTCCAAGACCTCTCACACTCCTTTTGGCAATCCTGACAGCTTGCTGCTCCTCTCCCACAGCACAGAGCTGCGCTGATCTCTCTTCCTTCATCTTTTCTACGTGTAGGAAAGGGAATAAACTAGGCATGACTCCTAAGCATGAATTACAGTACGAGATACAGTTCCTGGAATAAGTGATCCAAGTATTAATAGTTTTCCTTTTTGCTTTATAAGCCCACCCTTTTCGGAGTAGTTTGCAGGTGCTGTAAGTTGGTGCTTGTCCCAGAGCTGCAGCTCCCTGTTAGGAAGCCATGAGTACAGAGCCTCACTTTGTATTTACCCAGTTGCATCAGATTTCTGACACCCCCGTTGAGTAGGACCTTATTCTGTGAGCAGCCTCATTGATTTGTCCCACTAAACCAGTGACAGAATTAGGTTTGATGTTTTGTGCGTGACTCTGTAGGTGACTTGTGGTACTACTGGCTTTCGAAGTGCTTGTCTGTCTGCTGGGGGTTGCGCTGTGTATATCTGGAGGAAACAAACAAACAAAGAAAGGCAAATTTGCATTGATAAAAAGAAGTGGAGGTTCTCATTTCTTCTCCCCTTTTCACATCTCCAAGCCTGTTCACATCCCTCTCTCCACCCAGGCAGCAACCATTCCATGGCTTGCAGTATGGGCAGGCAGTAGGTCATAGCTCGTTTTCTTGTTCATTTTTTAAAATTTTGATACTTTTTCTCAATTTTTCTTTCCCCCTCACCCTCCCCATCCCCCTCTGGATCATTACCAGCAAACCACGGGCGTGTGAATCCGTGTGTTGACTTCGGATCTCCTCCCTGGAGGACACCTGAGCTCTTCTGAAATAACCTGGCATACGCCCGTGCAACAGCTGTGCTGGGCACATTTCTTACAGGTGAAAAAGCTTGTGGTCGAAGCCATTCAGACTCCTGTAAGCAATGGACACTCTGTGTGTGTGTGTGTATCTGTGCAGGTACGCCGGAATTCATGGCCCCGGAAATGTACGAGGAACACTACGATGAATCTGTGGACGTCTACGCGTTTGGAATGTGCATGTTGGAAATGGCTACCTCAGAATACCCTTACTCAGAATGCCAGAATGCTGCTCAAATTTACCGAAAAGTAACCTGTGTGAGTACCTGGCCTTAATTTCTGCTAGATCTTGTCACTTGAAGATTTCAAAGCGTGTTTTGATGCGAGTGCTGTATTGTTGTCTTGAGCTCTGGGGGGACACGAACCTGTTGCAGGTTTATGTGTAAGCTTGTAATTCCACAGCTGGAATTGTTGTGTCTGACTGTGGTGCAGCGGCATCAAATATTTTCGGTGGCCTTTGTCATTGATTTTGTGTCCATCAGCCACAAATACATAAAACTCCTGAAGAATGAGCAGGGAAAAAGCTTCTCTCTAGTCTCACCCTCTAAATGAGGACTTCTCAGACTGGGTCAAGTTGGCAGTCGCAGCTTCTGTGGGCAACCTGCTGCAAGCACCTCATATTAACACATTTCTGACTAATACCTGATCTAAACCTCCCCTCCTCCAATTGGAAGCCATCACCCAAGTCCCCAGACAAACTGTGGAAGCCCCGGCCCTGGAAGTTTCCAAGGCCAGGTTGGACAGGGCTTGGAGCAACCTGGTCTAGTGGAAGGTGCCCAATACACATGGTAGGGGTTGGAATGAGATGGGTTTTAAGTTCCCTTCCAACCCAACCCATTCTGTGATTCTGTGATCTATGAAGTTTCCCACAAAGCTAAAAGAAGTAACTTTTTGGTTGCAACCTAAATGCTTGTTTATGCAGTGGAGGGTGCTTGATTCGGATTTCCAGCACAGATTCTCTCTGTACATGTGGCAAATTCTCTGAAGGTACAAAAGGGAAAAGACAGCAATATCTGGTTTTGGAGTCAGCTGGAGGATCTTTAGATGTGCATTTGGGTGCTCTGCAAGGTCTGGGATCCCCAGGCAGGAACCAGGGTAATGAGTTTGCTGCATTTTCAGTGAGTTAGACTGGGGGAGTAATCAGTTTAAAGTAATGTCTGCACTGGCTAAAATCCCCTCTCCAACACCCTCACACCAGATGATAAATGTGTTTGTCTACATGAGCTGTGCTGCAAGTGCCTGAGAAAACTCCTGAGTCTGTAAGATGCTCTTGCGTTACAAATCGCTGACTGCAGAGAAATGGGACTTGCTAAAGGCTTTGGCAGCGCTGGTTTTGCTCTCTTCTACTTGGTTGAGTGAAACTAGGAGGTGCAGGAGGTTTTCTTCAAGGTAGATGATATCACACTGACTGGTTTGGCAAAGATTTTCCCAAGCACTTCTTTCCATCTGGTTGCTACCAAAGAAGATGGTGAGCTGTTTGGTTTGGCACACCAGAACATGCAGTCTGCACATTTGGCACAGGGCAAGGGTAATCCTTGAAAAAAAACTGCACCAAAACTGGCAAAGACTAGCTGCAGATTCATTTCTTGCACCTCTATGGTAGAAAGAGTGGTTAGGCTTACAGAGGAGATCCATTGAGCAGATCTATCTCTCAGTCTCCTAAAGCTTGGTCTCAGAATTAGTTTGTGTTCTTTTTATCTAACTGCCTGTTATGAGCAAAAAATCTCCCCCGCTGAGATTTAGCAATAACTGATTGATTTTTGAAAGGTGATTGAGACCACCTGTCTGCTGCAAGAGGTTTAGGGAATCAGGTTAGAATAATTATTTTATGCTGAGGGTGGTGAAACACGGGCACAGGTTGCCCAGAGAGGTGATGGATGTGCCGTCCTTGGAAACGTTCAAGGCCACGTTGGACTGGGCTCTGAGCAACCTGGCGTAGTGGAAGATGTCTTTGCTCACTGCAGGGGATTGGACTGGGCTGGATGGCCTTTAAAGGTCCCTTGCAATCCAAACCATTCTGTGGATCTCTGAGGTGTGGTGCTGTGAAATCCTGCCGGCAGCAAACACTGCTGCAGGTGGGAATTGCATCTCCTGAGGTGCTGTGTGCTGATCCCTCTCACTGGGTATAGGGATGGTGCCATCAGATACCAAACACTCACCTGTGCCAGGTGGGGGGGTTTATGTGCAATGTAATTTCTATAGGCATAGTTTGTATTGTTCAGTATTTGTCTTTTCCCACCACTGAAGACCAGGATACTGGGAAGTCGGTACAATTGTAGCTTGCTGTACTGACCAGCTGGGATGATGCTGACCTGGAGGGAGAGGGAGGAATCAGGCTGCTCCAAAGGGGGAGTGTCTGTTTAAAAACTGAAGTCAGTGTCATCAGACACAGAGGAATGTCCCTGCTGGAAATGAGGGAGATGCTGTGACTTTCCCAAAGAGGGGAAGCAGCTTTATCCCCTTTTTGTGTAAGCTGTGCAAGCTGACATTTGTAGCTTGATAAAGCTGAATCTTTCCCAATTAACTGATGCCTGGTAGTTTAGCTCTCCTTAGAGTGTTGCTTTCAACACAGGGCTAACTCAGAAATAATTTTTGAAACCACGGAAGGCCTCAGAAAGTGCTCAGCTTCATCCCTGTGGCGTTGCAGGGAGCTGAGTGTTTGCAGCCATGGATTGCTGGCTGCTGACCACGCTCTGCACCACACCATAGGCTCCAGCTTCTCAGAGACACAGAGGAGGTTTGATGGCTCAAAGGCAGTTTCTGGCCTGAATCCTTTGTTATTCGAGGCCGGGTTGGACAGGGCTTGGAGCAACCTGCTCTAGTGGAAGATGTCTCTGCCTATGGCAGGGAGGTTGGAACAAGATGATCAATAAGGTAAATTATTACAGTTTTGTGAAACTGGCCTTGTAATAGCAACTTTAGAGAGGTGGGAGATGATGTTTGTCCTGAAGAACAAGTGATGGCAGAGAAGCTGTTGAAAGGTCACTGTATTGGGTATTTTTGAGGCAGAACTGTCTGGCAGGAAACACTGAAGCCAAAAATGTCGGGTTTTGGCATGGAAGGTGTATTTACTGTGGCTTTCAGCTGAATTTGGGGCAGTAGCAGTGGGAGCGAAGGCACCAGGAGTCCTTAGATGGCAAAATTGGCACGACTGTTGCTCCAGGGAAAGGGTTAACCAGCTCCCTGTGGAGTGGAGAAAACCCTGTCAGATGCCATGAGCTGCACAAACTGTCAGCCAGGAAGGAGGAGCAGGGGGTGGACCTCTGGGGTGAGGGTGCAGGAGGAGCCTCGGGTCCTGGGGGAGATCCTCTGTCCCAGGAGGAACCTTCTGGTGGGCTCAGCAGCTTCTCTAGAGGAGCTGCACCTGCAGGAGAGCTGGTGACAGCAAGGGACCCTGCTTCAACCCGTGTGAGTCGCCCTGCCGAGCCGCAGGGGCTGAGGGACGAGGAGGAGGAGGAGGAGGTGTAGAAGTCTGGGGTTTGGGGTCCTGAGCTATCCCAATGCAGTGGGGTCTGCCCTGAGCTGGGGCAGTGCCCACATGCAGACAGTAATTCTAAAATCACTTGGATGAAGAGTTAGGGTTGGTCGTGCAGCAGCTCGTGTGAGCCCTGGGCTTTATAGGCAGAAATAAAGTCTAGAAAAGGAGTGTAGATGAAACCCAAGAGGCTGAATTAGACTGTTTTCTTCCAGTATTAGATTAGGTTTGGGTCTCTCACTGGAGCAGAAGGTGACTCTGACCTTGGATGGGGAAGATGCAGAGACCCCTGAGTGCTGCAGCTTCTCAGGAAGACTTTTCCTTGCTTTTTTATGAGGCTGGGTTGGTTTGTTTTTTTCTTTGCACCAGAAATGTAAACACCATTTTTAGTGCTTTAAATTGAGGGTTAATGCATTGTAAAAATTTGATTGCCGTGTCTGTCTGCCTGATGCCTTTTTTTTTTTTTTTTAAAAAAAAAGTATAAAATAAAATAACTCTCCTTTCCTGCCTTGGGCTCAGCATGGCAGTGCCAGCCCCCGGAGGCACTGACAGAATTGAAAGGGGTTGGAATTGCTGGCTGGAGTTTGCATCAAGGAGCAATAACCAACAGAGTCTTTAGCCTCTTGTTGTGTCCCTCTGGGCTGTTCCTTCCACTGCCCAGCACTGGCTGGGCGTGATTTGGGTTTTGCCACTATAATACCCTTTTTAATAGTTCCTACCCTGTGTCCTAACACTCTACCAAACCCTTGCCTGCTACTGGCACGTAAGATAACACCTGAAGTCCCTGCTGTCCGAGTCACACATGTTGGTGGTCCTTACTGGTGTAGAAAATACCAACAATGCCTTTCTGAGACATTTAATTTCGGGATACGCCACATCCATGTGTCTGTAGTGTAAAATTATTGCACCTAATTTGTTTCAGTGACCTATTCTGCCTGACCATGTTCTCGTGGCTGCATTGCTGTTTTAAGTTTTGCTCTCTTCTTCTTCTCCTGTGTGTGTGGCTGTGTGTAGGTAAATGTCCAGGGTAGTGGTGGTCATGTTTGGAAACGTGTAGGGGGGCTTCTTTCTCTGTCAGACGCTTGTTCTGACTTGTCACCTCCCTCTGCCCTTTCAGCCTGAATGATGGAGTATAAACATTAAAAAAAAAAAAAAAAGGATATGTACCATAAATAGAAAATACATCTTTCCCAAGCAGCGGGGCCAAGCCACATTTACCACAGTTCCCTTTGAAGCGATTTCCTGGTCAGCATATTTGCAGCGCCCTTCGTTCTGATGCCGTAATCTCATTTTTCATGCATAACTTGATGGTTTTTCTTACTCAGATTTTTTTTTGTGTTTAATCATTCTGCCAAGTGATTCTGATGTAGACAACAGCGATGAAACATCAGCGTCCGTGACCTTCCCAGGCGGCTCCAGCCCGGTGTTTTCTTAGGGATGTTGCTGCGGAATGCACAGCAGAGCAGCTGCATCTCCCGGGAGTTCCCGGCCACCTCCTTGGATTTAGCAGCACAAACCTGTGCTTCAAACCAACCCACATGGTTATAAGCGCTGTGGTTTGCATTTAAAGGTTTCAAACTGGTTTGGTTTTGTCCCTGTGCTGGAGGTTTTCTCAGCACTCCCAGACTGTGATGCCGTGTCGCTCACGCGGGCAGAATAAACGCTGTGCCTGTGGCACGGCGACAGCGGGCAGATAATGCTGTGAGTGCCACTGCATGGGCTTCTTGTGGGGTTTGGAGATCTTCTGAGGTCTGCAGGTGATCCTCTTAGACATTAAGAGACAGAGCACCGCTCTGGAGCGAAACAGACGAGTTTATAATTGCACGCAGTGACGTCGTGGAACAAAATCCTGGTAAAACTCAGAGCTTTACCTTCGTTTCAGTGGCTTCAGGGCGCAGTTTCAGTTGGAAACATGTCTTCAGCTTTTTTGGTAGAGGCTTTTCTCCCCTTTTTTTAGGAATGACATGAGACTAGAGATTTCCCTTCAGGTAGAAGGCGGAGTGTTAGCCCAGAGCAGGCTCTCTCTAGGGTGGAAGGGCACCTTCTGGGGGCCAGGAAAGCCCCTGGAGAAATTCCTGACGGACGTGGGTCAGTCATACTGTTGACTTGGCTGCCGTTGGCTGTGTACCTTGCCGAGCATCACGTGCTGCTGTCCCAAAGTGTGCTCTGCTGATGGAAAATGGCACGTGGCTGTTTTTAGACCTCTGGAAAACAAGCAGCACGTTCTTCCCCCCCCCCCCCCCCCAGCATGGAGGCTGCAACTTCAGTGTCCTATCTGTGCCTGGCTGTAGACTCAGCTGCCTGGGGGGCAATGGCTTGCAAATCTAATTGCTTCAGAAAGAAGGGGACAGGAATAAGTGGTGATGAGGGATTCAGAATGAGTTATCCTGTTTGAGACAGAGAAATTCTAAAAAGGGAAATCATTTGCTCTCTCATTTTACTCTTGGATTATGTATGTGTACGTATATTTTAACATTTAAAGAATTTGTCTGACATTATTCTTATTCCCCTTGTGCCCCCCCAGCCAGCCCTGCCTTTCACGGGCGGTGGTGTTGAGTTTAGTTTACAAGAGGCTGTGCGGCTTTCAAACTGTCATGGATAATTTCTTAGCTAATATACTTCGAGTTTTGGTGCCATTATTCCTTGGGAATGCTCAGGGAAGACAGATGGCTTTTGTTTAACTGAATGAGATGAGTTGTCTGATGGCAAATAGAAGCCCCCTTCATTGTCGGGAGGCACCGCGCCGCGGGGAGGGTTTGCAGCATCCCAGCGAGATGGCCTTGGAGAGTTTAATGAAGAGTAAGGAACAAAAGCCTCCTAAACCATATGGGCAGGGAGAAAACACTTGGGCAAAGCAGCTCTGTTCAGTACTTCCCTCTCCTTGTTTGTTTTAGTCCTCTATTCATAGCTTGGCTGTTCGGCACATGAACACAATATTGGGAATCAGCCTTTACGGATCTGCTAAAAGGGCTGTTTTCAGGCAAACCTAATTTTTTAGATGCCCAGCATGTCCCTCCCTCCCTCCCTGCTCCATCCCAGTCGTGTCAGAGTTCGAGCTGAACCATGTACCTGGAGATTGCTTGTGAACGCTGCAAAAAGAAAATTAAATTGGGAGAAACTGTGCTATGCCTCATGGTATTTGTTCACTTTGTGTTGAGATACCCCGTGAAGTGCTTACAAAAATTGTAAAAAGCAGCTGGCAGGTCCCCTTGAGTTTGTAAACATGCGACCAATGTGTTCCTCTAGGTAGCTGGAAGTGGAGATTTATTCTGTTTTCTGTTTTGAATTACCAGAAACCTCTTTGAACCCCTCCTTGCTGGAGAACACACTATGTTCCTGTAGCTTTAGAGTGAATTAGGGCACAGAGAAGTCCTGCTAGAACTGACTTTTGGTGGTGCTTTGTTTTCTTTTCTAACTCAGGTATCAGAGCTCTCTTAAGTGCTCCCCTTGGCACGCTGGAGTCAGCCTTGGGTGTTGCAGGTTGGGCTCTCCTGTGCCTTTTGACATGTTTTTCTAATACACAAAATTTGAACCCTCATCTCATAAGTAAGATTTGGGTTTCCTTAAGCAAATAATTATTTTTAGTGGGTCACAGCCAGCCAGCCAGCCATGTGTACAGGTTAGTTTGGGGGCTTTTTCCCCACAAGAATGGGGGTTTTTGGTTCTCCATAACGTTCTGCTGAGGCAAAACTGGGGAGCTGTGTGACTATTCTGTATTTTTGTTACTTTTTATTCAAAATTTATGAATTACATATTTCACTCTAGAGTTTTTAAGACAAAAAGGGAGTGGTGGTTGACCTGAAATTAATTAATTAGATAAAGTTTGAAGTAGAATCTGAGGTTTGAATGGCAACAGAATGTTCATAAAATCCTAAGAGTATAATCTGATGCTGGAATATTCAGAAATTCTCAGAGAGCTGCCAAGCCTCACTGAAATTCACCCATAAATTTTATTCAGTACTTAATTCAGTTAATTACTTGCAGAAAATCTTTTTTTTTTTTTTCTTTAACTCAAGGCAGCATTGGATGAGCCAGAAGTCAACTCTGTAGGACTCCTTATCTGCCACTGCATGAGCTATTATTTACTGTTATTTCGGGGTGAAAGTTTAAAAGGATTTGAATGGAGTTAAATGTCCAATTCCCATTCAGTTCTGTGCTTAATCACATTCTGGGTTTTTTAGATAAAGGAAACTGTGTTTCCTTTTTGTTCTGCTTATTGACTTCATTGGAAATACTTGGGTCCTTAAGTGATAGGGTCTGACTGCATAATCTCTTCTCAAACTAATTTTGCCAAATTTCTGTCCATATATCTATATCTTGGTTTGGTAGGTGGAGATGTGAATGTGTTTTTAAGAGGGAATCAATTCTCTTGTGATTTAAAGCTGAACATCATGAATAAAGGAGAACTTCTTGTGTTGCCATGTGTCACGTGTAGCTGAATATCAACATGGAAGGCGTCCACAGGAAACTTTCTGTGGATGGGAGGAGTGACCAGTGTCCCAGCTTGGGGGGCTGGCAGTTGCTCTGACAACCTTTGGCAGGAGAGTGCTGGGGTGGCATGGGTGGAAATCACAGCTGTTCCTAAGGGAACGCCCCTTCCACCCTGTCCACAGCCTGCAATCAGAAGGAATTATCACTCTGGGCTCTGAGAACACGCAGCCCCACATCTGTGCTGTCTGCCCAGGTGTTCCCCGGTGGTGTTTTTTCATGGTGTATTTTGGATATCTGTGCAGAGTGATGACACAATATACGAACTGTTACTTAGCTGAGAGCTCACATACCTCTTCTCCTGCAGTCTCTCCTTGTGTTGGTAAGATATATGTTGTTTTTATATTATATGTTATTTTATCCAGGCTCTATACCCCGAGGTGGGTCATGCTGGGTTAAGATCCTGGTCCTGAAATACCAGACAGTGGGGAGGGCTGACCTGTGACCGTCCTAAGAGAGTGTTTGTTTGTCCCTTTTAAATCCTCTCCATCTTCTTAACACAATCCCACCTAACCTTTAAGAAATGCAAAGTGTCCCTGTTGCACCTCCAGAGCCGAGCTCCTGGTGTGAGGACACGGATTTTGCCTCTCCAGGTTTTTTTTTTTTTTTTGCCGTGAGCAGTTGGGTTTTCTCCTTGAAAGGCCATGCTTGGAGGTTGCTGTTCCAAATCTAGAACTATCCCTAGAAAAATGTTAACATTTGGCAGAGATTTAACTTGATTTATAGGCTGCACCTGCTCTACCACGCATTCCCAATGGGATTCTAGCAATATCCTGGGGAATTCGAGAGCAACGCAGAGCTGTTGGGTATATCCTCCTGCTTTCCAGCTTTGTTATTAGGGTTGGGTTTTAATTTTTTTAGGGGAACTGGGATGTTGGAGAGTGTTTGGGTCATAGAAAAGAAGGAGGTTTGTGGGAAACAGGAATATGGAATATTCCAAGGTATCTTGATTCATTCTCAGCACTGGCTAGCTGAAGAAACAACATGATTATTTCTCTTTATTCGTTTAGTGTTTTGAGAGTTAAGGCAAAAACATAAAAGGAATAATTTCAGAAAATGGTTACTTTTGAAACTTAAACCTGGCTGTTTCTTGAATATTCACTCCAGAGTGCACAGGATATAAAGGTAAAATTTGCAAAAGATGGTAAAGAAAATGGGATACTTGCCCTGTGTGTGGCTGAGCTCGTGCAAATCAGTGTACTGCTTTTGAAGTGCAGTGGTACTTAGAAATATGGTAACCCTAAATCTTCAAACTCAGTTTTGCATTAAGACTAACAACTTTAAAGCATTAGTTACTCCAAGGGTTGAATTAACTGTAAAATGTAGGAAAAATACGCTTAATTAAGAGATACAATGCAATTCTTTTTCAGACTAAATGGTTTTTCTCTATCCTTTTAGGGTATAAAGCCAGCGAGCTTCGAGAAAGTTACTGATCCTGAAATTAAAGAGATAATTGGAGAGTGCATCTGCAAAAATAAGGAAGAAAGGTTTGTTTCAAGTGATCAAGTTTTGTATTGAGTAATGTGTGTGTGTGCAGGGATTTCAAAACCTGTCTGTGGAGTTCTGTTCTTTGGGGGTTTCCTCTGGGTCTCCCTTGTGCAGGAGTGCTCAGTGCTTCCTGTCTTTCCTAAATACAGTTTTTAGGGACCTCAACTGGCTCCCTAGAGGGAACCTCTCCTGTAGTACTCCTCAGGCTCAGGTACTCAAGGAAAGTTGAGCAAAGCTGCAGTCTGCATTTCTGTATGTGCTTGTGGTGGATGAATCTTGCTTGAGCCCTGAGAAATGGAAATGTCATTTTTTCACTTCCATTTCATTTTCAGTAACAGGGGAAGCCCCAAGTCTTTTCAAAAAGAACACAAATTCACGATGGGTGAACACCAGACATACTGTAAATGTTTCCACCTTTAACAGCAGTTTCTTGTCACAAATACAAGAAATTACTTGGCTTGCAGTATTTGAATCTTCTTTATATCCTTTGCAGATATGAAATTAAAGATTTATTAAGCCATGCCTTTTTTGCTGAAGATACTGGGGTAAGAGTGGAACTTGCAGAAGAAGACCATGGTAGGAAATCCTCTATTGCCTTAAGACTCTGGGTAGAAGATCCTAAGAAACTGAAAGGAAAACCCAAAGATAATGGAGCCATTGAGTTTACTTTTGATCTGGAGAAGGAAACTCCTGATGATGTTGCACAAGAAATGGTAAAATAAACTTCTCCTGACAAAAAATATGTATATATAAAGTAGTGCATAAGTCTCAAAAGACAGCAGGAACAAGTCTGGTAAAGTAACTCCACTTGAACCATTCCAGGTGTCCAGTTCAGGCACTTTGCATTGATTTTGGAAAGGGGTTAAGGGGGGAGAACTAATAACTAAAACATATTGTTTGCCATGTGTGAAAGCAGATGTCAGAAGTAACATTTCAAATAGCTTAGGGACCATAAAGGTCTGGTCCACTTTTATGTTTTGCAAACTCTTTTGCCATTTTCTGTAGGCTGTTGAATGTCTTTGAATGTGTTTGGAATCTGTTTAGTTCCAGGCAGCAGCTTGAAACAAATTAGGAGAGCTGAGAAGTTCAATCACAAAACATTCAGCAATGGGTTCTCCAAAGCTCTTTTTGCCCTCTTTTCTATGGTGTTCCTTAGGAGGAACGTAGATGAGGAAGGTCTGTGGTCAGCCACTCTACCCCCAAACATTTGATAGGAAAGTAGATTCACGCAGTTAGGAATAAGCTCTGGATTTTTTAACAGATAAGTTTAACTTGGTGAGTTTCTGTGTCTTCTCAGCTTGTGGAGTTTTGTTAAAGAATCTGTGTTCCAGTTTCACTACATTGTTCTTGAACCCATATTTTGATGGTGCCTTTACTGCACCATTCTAATGTCATGGAGGCACAGAGTCAGTAAGCCCTGAGCCAAGGTCTGAACTTTCCTGGGCTCGCAGAAATGTTCCTATTATAATTTAAAATCCCATTTAATGGTGTTGTCATCACCACTCCTGTTCTGCTCAGGAGGCACTCCTTTTGGTAATGCTGCCTTGCTCTGCTGGGAACCATCACCTTCTGCTCCAAATTCAGTGGGAGGAATTCAGGCTCCTCTATCTTCTTGTCATTAGTTTGCAGTAGGTCCAATATTTTTCCAGCAATGTGTTGTTGCAGAACTGTTTAGTTTAAAAGTTGCTCTGGGACTGTTATATTTTGCATTTAAATATTGGTGGAAATACCTGGCATTTTGAAGTTCTCAAGGTTGCTTGGTCCATAGTTGTTGATGTTTTGTTTTGAAGAGGAAATGATTCTCGTAAAAAGTGTATTTGAAAGGATCATGTCCAAACTACAGTGACACTATACCCCTTTCCAAATAATTTTAAAACCCGTGTTCTACATTAGTAGTTACCTAAGTGACTGTCCCTGAAATGCTTTCAAACTTGAGGCTGTTGCAGGGGCAGAAAATGGGGGCATTTATCCTAAATGTCTTCTTCTAGTCCTTATCAATTGTGGAACACCAAAGCCATGTGCTTTCATCAGTTTGTTGCTTTATGTGCTGTGGAAGAGAAGAATGCAGGAGACCTCCTGAGCACAGGCAATCATTTATCATTATTTATGTGGTTTTGGTAGCTGGGTGATCCCACCTGTCCGAAGGATGTGGCTAAAAGGAGCTTGAAGTGTTCTGGTGGGTTTGGAACCTGAAGTCAGCTCTCCCAGCCAGTGGGGACTGTGAAGTGGCACATCTTCATTAAAATGAACCTCTGGTTTAGGCTACTTTACCCCCAGTAATTTTAAACAGTGAAAATTTTAAGCTGTGAAACTGCCTCATGTTTGAGCAAGAGCAAAGCAGGAAAGCCTCTAGATCTCCCCCATGGGTACAAGTGCTTCCAAACCCGCTGAATATGTATGTTAAGAATGTAGGGAGTGCAGACAAAGCTCTGGTAGGTTATTATTAAATGAAAATTCATACCCTGTGCTGGAGGAGATTATGCAAACAAATAGCACAAAGATGAATTTCCATTTCATCCTTTGAGCAGTTGAGTTCTGAGAAGCCTCATCCCCTTTTCCATCAAATGGGAACAGTCTGCATCAGGCTCACTGATGGGCTTTTTGTTTATAAAAAGTCAGTCAATACTGACTGACTTCACTATTTAAGAGAAGTTAATTTGAGGCATAATGCTGTTAACATCTTGTCCTTCATAGATTGTCGTGCTGCCAGGCAGAGCAATTTGGGGAACTGTGTGTGCTGGAAAGGTTAAGGCAATAAATTCAGATTTAGGGGTAGTTTGATTTGCTCCAGTTGCATTGTTCAACGATTCTCTTTCCTGTTTTGAGTATTCTTTTAGTGTTAACAAGAAAAAAAGAAGGGAACCCATCTACCATTAAACTTGCTCTCCACAGTGGACGTTAAGTGGTGAATAAATTGAAGCCAATACATAATCAGGTCTTAGGAATTACATACTGGTTTTTTTAATGCTTTGAGGATAGAAGTTTTATTTTAAAAAGACCCTATCAAGCTCTCGAGTTCCTGTTCTTGCGAGAAATAAATCTCTGTAAATTCACGTTGTTTCAAACTGACGTTTTCTCCGTGAGGAAGAGATTTAAGTGACGTGTGTGTGTGATGCGTTTGTGCCCGTCCACACACACGCGACCTTGCTAAGTCTGTGCCTCCTCTGTAGATTGACTCGGGATTTTTCCATGAAAACGATCTCAAGATAGTTGCCAAGTCCATACGGGACAGAGTAGCGCTGATCCTCTGGAGGAGGGAGCGGATCTGGCCGAGGATGCAGTCGGAGGAGCGGCGGGACTCGGAGTGCCTGGAGAAGCTGAAGGCGCCGCAGGCGCAGCAGGTGCAGGTCACGTACCTGTCTCACACCGGGCACCACATCCTGTCGGAGCCGGAGGAGCCGGAGGCGGACCAGCACCCCTTCCAGCAGAACCTGCCCACCAGCGTCACCTCCGTCGCGTGTAAGTCTCGTGGTTTGTGGGCACGCGGTGATGAATCTCCAAGGGAGAGAGCCCCAGTGATCCCAGCTCGGGGGGGAGAGGAGCTGATGTGTGTGGGTTTGAAGAGTAGCTCAAGTTTGAAAGAGGCTCCCCAGGGCAGTGGGCACAGCACCAGGCCTGCCAGGGCTCAAGGAGCGTTTGGATGATCCTCTCAGGCATGTGGTGTGGTTCTTGGGGATGGACCTGTGCAGGGCCAGGAATTGGACTCAGTAATCCTTGTGGGTCCCTTCCAACTCAGCATATTCTGTTAAACTATATAATACAGATATCTCTTTGTAACACTCCTTCAGTAGCAATGACTGCCGAAAACATAACGTATTGGTAAATGGAAAAGCAAGGAAACCTGCTGCTTGACACAAAAAGCTACCTGTTTTCTGTGCCAGGTGGTGGGATCAAGTTTGTGCAAAACACACTTTCAGAGCCTGCAGAAGTTGAACTGGCACCAAACTGATTGCTGATCCTCGTGGGTCCCTTCCAACTTGGGACATTCTACGAATCTGTATGATTCAAACTGGTCAGAGCAACTGGTGACTCTTCCAAATGATGTTGGCCCTTGGGGAGATGTTTATTGCAAACCAGACCTTACTGAAACCTGCAGGCTCTCGTGTTTTGAAGTGACTCCTGATGTCTTGCAGTTTTTTGTGATGCTATGCAAGGGTCTGTGGTAGGAAGAAAAATCCGTCTCTGGATGTTACGTGATGTAATTTAAGATTTCCCTGTTTTGTGGGAAATACCGACTGTGTTTTGGTTTTGGGGGCCTTGGGAGCACCAGAGCTGTGGGCTGACACTGTAATTGCTGTTGGATCCCTGGGTCATGGTCAGGGGTTAAGTTAACTCTGTTCCCTCATGCTCTCTTTTGCCCTGAGCTCATGGCCCTGAAGCCCTGGGCTGTTGGAGCTCCCCTGTGACAGGTCAGAGTAGGGGGTTGCTCATCTGCCAGCCCTGGACATTCAGCTGGGGCTGATCCCGGGGCTATTTCAGGGATGCCTCCTGGTTTAATTCCAAGCACTGATTTTGGTCTGTCTCTGGCTAAGAAACTCCCTGATTTGGCTTGCAGAGTTTGTTGGTTTCTTCATTTGATTTCTGACTTACCCCCAGCAAACAGCACAGGGAAGGGGGAGTGCTTTTGTTTTCCTAAAGTAACTCCACCCTGATTCTGCGCCCTAAAATGAACCTTTGTTACTGACTCGAGCTCTGGTACTGAAATCTGAACCTGTTTGTACTTTTAACCATCCTGAAGGAAACACTGCCAGATGTTTTTGCCCCATCCCTGGAAGTGTCCAAGGCCAGGTTGGACAAGGCTTGGAGTACCCTGGTCTAGTGGAAGGTGTCCCTGCCCATGGCAGGGGGTGGAACAAGATGAGCTTTAAGGTCCCTCCCAGCCCAAACCCTTCTGTGATTCTGTGATTTTTAGCTTGGATGATTTGAAATTGTATGAGAGTTCTTTTCTTTTTTCCTAGCCAGTTTTTCTGATAAAATCCGATGTGCATATTTTGCTACTAAACAATTATCACAGTGTTTCTGTTTTGCTGTTCTGGGCTTGTATTTAGATACATTTGAGTTAAAGATGCATTATCTTTAGCAAAGGCACAGCTGCTGCTTTAATTCAGGTATTGTATAAAGGGCTACACAGAGGTCTGCTTTGAATTCTGAAATATCCATGCATGCCTCCACAGGAAAAATCCCTTTACAAGATATTTGGCCACATTTGCATAACACTCACAATATTGCTTTATTCACAAAGCTTTTTATCTGAAGCTAAATTGAGCTCATTTCATTTTTTTGGATCATATACTTATTTCATGCTAATTCCTTTGAGGAACACTGCAATTATGACTCTTTCTGTTTCCAGTGGTGCAACAAGGCAGTTTGTGCTTCCCATGATTCTGCTGGACATGAGTTAGCAGAATTTTCTGCTAAATATAACCCCCCAATTTATTTCCTACTCCTCCTCAACTTTTAACCAACACTTGGTATTATTGGACAGTTTGCTATCAGAGTATTTGAACATTTTCTTAGCATAAGACCCCTATAATTTAGAGTGCCACCTGTTCATGTCATCAAAGGTCAAATGTAAAAATGGAAATTAATAACCTAATGTGTACAATGTGTGTTGTTCTATAATATCCTGAGGCTGACTCACAGCTTTTACCTTAGCACTTGACTGCTAAATTTTTTTTTTTTTTCCCATTTGAGGTCCTGAATAATTGTTTGTAATAAAATGGAAGTGTGTTTATGCGGCAGAAATCCCATCGTGAGAGAAGGGCTGTGTTGGCTCTTGAGAGATGAACTGAATAAATAGAGAGGGGAGTTTAATTTGGGGAAAAAAAACCCCACAAAACAAAACAAAAAACGATTGGGAGAATGGTTTGTAAGTACTGGAGAGAAATGTCATCTCTGGTGCTATTAAAAAATAATTTTTTATTTAAAACCAAATAAGTAAAACCTTGTTTAGAACATGGAAAAAAGAGACGATGGAAAGTGTTGGAAAAAGAAATGGTGTTTAAGCTTAACTGTAACTTAAGCTATTTTTTTAAACTGCATTGCAGTTTTCTTTCATTTTTGAATTTTTAATCTCTCAGAAGCTGTTTGTCCTTTGGATACATCCTGCTGCAGTGTGATTGTCTCGTTTCCTTTCTCAAGTGAAGAAAGCAGTAGCTTATGCCCAAGAAAAGGAGGGCACATGTAGTTTACAAGCTTTAAAAGTCGTGAAGAAATATTTTAAAATCAGTAATACCATTATTTCCACTGGACAAAGGACCAGGTGCTCTCCCTGTGCCCGTAGCTGTGCAAATCCACAGGTTCATTGGGCAGATGCTCCGTGAGGAACTCCCATAGAGTGTGCTCCTAACTCACTGAAACCTGCACATGGTTTTGTGTCTGACCTGCAGCTTGAGGTCCTGCTCTCTATGCTCAAGCAGGGCATGGCTTGCTGGACTAATAAATCACACAACATGAAGAATTTTTTGTGATTTTCAGTGTTGCTAATAAAAAAAGGTGGTAAAGTCAGTGCATCCCTGGGAGATGGAACTCTAAAAGCCCCCATGATCTGCTCTGAACATGACAATTGGGGTTTCCTCTCCTTTCACCCTACAAAATCTATAAACGTCTGCAATTCTCAATGTCAACCTTCTGCCCTTTAAAGGAAATATTAATGTGCCTAAAATATCACTGTGCACAGAAATCCACGGGGATGCCTTTTGGCTTAAGAGAAGCAGCGTGTGCCTTTTGCAGAAAATAACATTTGTGTTGTATGATTTATTTATATAACAAAAGGGCCAGGGTAGTTATAAAAAAAAAAAAAAAAAAAAAAAAAAAAAACCAACGCTAATTGCATAAACCACGGTGACCTTGCTCCGAAGCCGTCACTCGAACGTTTGGAGTTGTCGGGCTTTTAATAAAAATTAACTGTTCTTTTCAGCTGACAGCACGTTTGACAGCGGCCAGGGCTCCACTGTTTATTCTGACTCGCAGAGCAGCCAGCAAAGCGTCATCTACTCGTCCCTGCCTGAGGCGGTGCCCCCGGCCATCCAGCGGGTGTACAGCCCCCCCCTGAGCGAGAGCCAGCCCGTGCCCCACAGCCTGCCCCAGCTCGGGCACTACCAGCAGCCCTCAGCAGTAAGTCCAAAGCTTTTCTTTCTCCAGGTCATTTTTTTGTACCCTTTGGTCGGGTTTAGTATTACCAGTTATGTTCCTGTTTTCCGGAGGGTGCGGATTGCGGGACCCTCTTCGGGTGGGTGGTGACCTGCTCAGTAATGCATTCCCTGGTGGATGTGGAATGGGTGATGGTGCCCTGAGTCGCTGTATTTGCCATCCTGCTTCGCTGGCAGCTGTCGTGCTTTCGGTAAAATAGTCCCTTGTCAATCTGTTGGTGCTGAAATCCGTCAGTGGCTTTGCAACAAAGCACAAGAAGGACATGGACCTGTTGGAGCGGTTCCAGAGGAAGCCAGGAAGATGCTCCAAGGCTCGGGAGAGACCTCAGAGTCCCTTCCAGTGTCTAAAGGGGCTCCAAGCTGGGAGAGGGACTTTGGAAAAGTGCCTGGAATGACAGGACAAGGGAAAATGGCTTTTAACTGTCAGAGCGCAGGGTTAGATTGGATATTGGGAAGAAATTCTTCTCTGTGCTGAAGGGTGACAAATTACATAGCTACATTAAAACCTACATTTACTACACAACTACTTCTAAAATCTACAAAAAGCTAAACAACAAAAAAATCTCGAGGCATCAAGAGAAGAAAAAATTAAATCCAGGAACAGTGTTTTTTTTCCAGATTTTCCCTGCACACTTGGGAAGTGCCTCATTTCCCCTGATTTTACCTTATATTTTTCCAAAATGTTGCCAAGAAATTCTGAACTGTGTTTTGGAAATGCATCAGCTCTGTTCACGTGAAGGTAAAAAATTAAACCTTGGCATCTGTAGGCAGCTCCCTCTACTGTGGAAAGCACTTTTCCTATGGGCACACATCTCCTGGAAGAGATGGGATGAATCCTTCCTCATTTCTTCTTCACCTGAAGCACCAAATGAACCCTCTAAATGTAACACTCCAAAGGCACACCTTGAGCAGGGTTTATTATCAAGCCAAGCTGTGCAGCACCCTCAGAGCATTCTGTCGTCCTTTCCATTGGTGGGTTCCGGTAATTTTAACCTAAACTTGTTGATTGAGGGTTTCAAAAGACAACAACCTTTATTCATGAGCAAAATATTTTATCTAACTTTTTATTTTCTGATAGGTCTTCCATGATTTTTTTTCTTCCTATGATACTTTAGGTAAAGAGTTCTGAGTCTGGAAAATCTCAAAAAACACGGGAAACAAAGTCTGATGTAAAATCTTCTGTTTTCCAATTAAAAAAAAAAGGAAAAAAAAAAAAGAAAAAAAAGAATTGCTGTATTTAACTGGATATTGTTGACCAAGTTGACAAGCATATAACTGGAGCTGCACTAGGGATTTTTTAAGCCTGTGAGCCTCAGTCTGACATACTGTTTATTTTTAATTTATCTGTTTTGTTTAAGCTGAAGTTATAGAGACCTGATGTTGTTAAAACCTGATCTGAATGTCTATTTTAATTTTTTTTTTTCAACTTCAACTATGGTTTTGATTTGTTTTTCATTTCTCCATTTATTTTCCTGGCATCCACTTCCAGTAAAATTACCTGCTTTTTTGGACAATAAAGATTAGAAAACTAGAAACAGCTTTGTGAAGGTAAATTTGAAGATAAATTGGTGAAGATAAAACCATCACAGAGTTGTTGTTGCTGGTTTGTTCCTGCTCACTGTGGGCTGTGCTTCCACTGGTTTTACTGGTCTGCACTCTTACCTCCAGAAAGAAATGCAGTGTGGTTTCACTCATTTATTTCAGATTTGCCGATGTTTTTCCACATTTTGAGGTTTCCATCCCTTGCAGAGAACTCTTCTCCCCTCTGTTTTGACCCACACCCTGAGTGGCAGATGAATGGCGCGCGATCGCGTCCACGCTGAGCAGTCACAGAGCGCCTGAGGTGGTGGTGGTGCCCTCCCTGATGCCATGCTCTCTCTCTCTCTCTCTCTCTCTCTCCACAGCCCGTCCTCCCCGCGGTGCCACCAGCGCCCGCCGTGGTGCCCCAGCACTACCAGGAGCCGGCCATGCCGTTCCCGGTTGTCCAGCCCACCACGGTCGCCTCCCTGCCGCTGGCGCAGCCGCCGCCGCCGGTGCTGGCCGGACAGCAGGTGAGAGTTGGGCTCTGCCAAAAAGCCCTTGTCTGATCCCGCCCCTTCCCCGTGCTCTGCTCCAGCCCACACACGTGTCCCAGAGGAGCTGTGGCTGCCCCGTCCCTGGAAGTGGCCAAGGCCAGGTCGGACGGGGCTTGGAGCAGCCTGGTCCTGGGGAAAGGTGTCTGTGTGGAACAAGATAAGCCTTAAGGTCCCTTGCAACCCAAAGCACCCCCGTGATTCTGTGATGCCTGTAGCGAGTCTGAGCTGTTTGAAACTCTTAAACTGCAACTTGAGAGGTTTAGGGATGGGGCAATGGGTATCTGGCCTAACAGCCTTGAGGACAACCATGGAACACACGTCTTGGTCGAGTTTAGGTCTGTCTTCCGTTGTGGCTTCGCAGCGTCATCCTGAAGCCTTGCATTGACATCAGTGTGCTCTCTTGATCTGTGAAAATCAAATAGTTTGTTAATAATTTTGTGTTATTATTCATCATCTCCTTTCTAAAAAATTAGAAAGAGACCCCTTAGCCTGGTGCCACTTGTCTCTGAATCCTCAGTGGTGCTGCTTGATGAGTTGTGCAAATACAGTGTTGATACAGTTCAGTGCAGGCACCCGGCCAGGAGCTCCACCTTCAGCAGCAGAGTCTGTCTCTGAGTTGCCTCCAAACAGTAACTCTTGTGCATTTTGAGGTATCAAATCCCACCCCAAACACTGCAATCCCTAAAGGTATTTCCAAAGCAGCTCTTCCCAGCAGTGGAGGGAGATGCTCTTGTGAGGGATGCAGCCACAGCCTGGTATGATCCGATAATTCATGGCTCATTTTGGTGATTGTACAAAAAACTTGGCTTCCTTCAGTAGAAACTGGTGCTGGTGCTGGGGAGTGTCTATACTTTGTGACTGGCATGAATCATACCTCTCCAAACCTTTTGAGCTATCAACATTTATCTCACTGGTTGCCATTTAGGTTTTTTTTTTTAACGTGCCCCATTCTTCTCAAAGCACCAATAATGGAGACGTGTCATTTGGTCTCCTTGAAAAACATACCCTTGTGCAGGGTTTTGTCACATAACAGGTTTTTTTCTGATGGGTAGAGATATTCTTGTGGTTCTCTCAGACAAAAATTTTACACTCAGGCAGGTTTAGGACCTCACCATTTGCACAGGTCTTGCTGTTGGCCTCTGGAGCTTCATGCTGACAGTTCCAAATCTGTTGTTTATTTTCCCCCATGAACAAATTCTCGTTTGGAATACGATTTTTGCCCAACCTAATTTCTTTCTCCTGCCCTTTTCTCACAACATTGCTGTCTCTTGGAATAGTTCTATCCCTGACAGCCAAAGGATTTAATTACTGGTCTGTCTTTCCTTCCTAATCTTACCAGGAAGCCTAATAAAAAAAATGACTTTTTACATTTTTATGATTATTATCACAAAAATAGGTAAAATGATCCAAATTTTCTGCAAAACTTCCCAGGGTGGCCCTGTGTCTCAGAGACCAGCAGTAGGTCCAGTGTTCCCAGAATCCCCAGGTGTGTGGGGACTTTGTCCATGCTGTGGGGGGTGGGGCAGGGCAGCAGAAGAGAAAACTGGGGTGAGAAATTCTTCCGCCTACAGAATGTTCTTGTACCATTACACACTGGTGGCTCAGACTCGTGGGATCAGTGTTTCATCTCCTGCTTGTTTGGTTTTTTTCCAGTTTGGGTGTCTGTGCGTTTATACTGTTAAAGTTATAATGAGGCAAAGTTACTTAATCCACCTGGATATTTTCCCCTTCCCCGTGCCTCGTCCAATTCACAAGCGCTTTACAAGGCACGAGCTGAATTCGAAGCGGAGGTTTTAGGAAGCCTCTCTGCTCCCTGAACGCTGTTTTCCTGCTGCTAAGGCGGCCTCTCCTCGAGTGGGAGGTGGCTGAGCCACCTGTGCCCGTGCCCCCTGTCCGTGGTGACCCGTGGGCAGCCGTCTGAGCTGCAGATTAACCCGGCTGGGTGTGAGAGCCGAGCTAGCTGTGGGAACTGGCAGGTTTATTTGCATCAACCCAGTAGTGGGTGTGCGGTTGTTCCGCTCCGGAGCTCGGGCTGAGTCTGGCAGGACTCTGTGGGGTGAGTGGGGCCCCCCCAAGTCCCCCTCAGGCACTCCCCAGGTGCCTCCACCTTGGCCAGCTGGATATGTGACACCAAGCACCCAATTCTCTTTTGTTCCCTGGTCCTGTGTTGGGAACTTACCAGTCATGGCTGAATTTTAGCTGTTCAAGGGTGGATGGCATCTTGCTTCCTCAGTGCAAAGACAGGCTGAGAGAGCTGGGGGTGTTCAACCTGGAGAAGAGAAGGCTCCAGGGAGGCCTTTCCAGGGCCTAAAGGGGCTCCAAGAGAACTGGAGAGGGACCTGGGAGAAGGGATGGAGAGACAAGACAAAGAGGAATGGCCTTAAGCTGAAGGAGGTAGGTTCAGCTAAGATATGAGAAAGAAATTCTTGGCTGTGAGGTGGAGAGGTCCTGGCACAGGTTACCCAGGGAAGCTGTGACTGCCCCTGGATCCCTGGAAGTGTCCAAGGCCAGGTTGAACGTGGCTTGTAGCAACCTGGTCCAGTGGAAGGTGTCCCTGCCCTCGGCAGGAGGTGCAGTGAGATGGTCTTTGAGATCCCTTCCAATTTAAATCTTTCTGTGACTTTGTGGTACATCTGCTACAGTTTTATTGCATTAATACCAAACTGGTTGAGGAGTCCTGCCATTAAAAATGCTGAGCAACGTATTCCCCTACAGATTTGTGGTGGAAGTGGCAAAGATGAAGGATTCTAACACTTAGCTATCCCTTTTAAAGTTTAGCTTCTGACCGTAGGCACGGTGTGAGGTGCTGTGTGCTGCAGAGCCTGGTGGAGCCATCAGCCCTGTGGTCCCAAATAGGTCACCATGAGCCAACCTGCGTCTCAGTGCCATCCTTATGGACCAGAAGGGTTTTTAAAGTCATTCCAGAACTAATTAGGGGGACACTAGGAGGAGATACTAGTAGCATGATTATTTCCGGCTTTAATGCAGCGTTTTCTCGCTGTTCTGCTACCCAAAACCTGTTTCCCCTGGAAGAGTAAAACCGCTTTTTTTCGCTGTCACACTGTCACTACAGCACCTCAGAAATAACTGGGACCCAGCTTTTACTGTAATTATTGTGGTTTATTGAGTCTCAGATAAGAAAAGTGTTGTAGTTTCCGTGCCTGCTCCTTTATGTAGCACCTTCTGCATGCCAGGATGAGCTGGGTATTAGCTGCATCTTGGAAGTTAGTGGGTGGGATTTCACAGTGCCAACTGGAACAGTCTCTGGGATTTAAAGAGTCTGAGTCATTACAGATAAGCTCTCCAAGATAGTTAGAACTTGTCTTTTTAGGTAATGTATCTTGTATTTAAATGTGTTTTAAACACGAGCTGCTGTGCAGTGCTTGAATTAGGAGTGCCCATCTCTTCTGGAAGGTTCATGTCCTGAGGGGCTGGAACGTGTCCAGAGAAGGGCAGCAGGGCTGGGGAAGGGTCTGGAGCACAGGTCTGATGGGGAGGAGCTGAGGGGGCTCAGCTTGGAGAAAAGGAGGCTCAGAGGGGACCTTCTTGCTCTTTCCAGCTCCCTGACAGGAGAGGGGAGCCAGATGAGGATCGGGCTCTGCTCCCAGGGAGCCAGGGACAGGACAAAGGGAAACTGCCTCATGTTGTTGCACCAGGGGACGTTCAGGTTGGATATCAGGGAAATTTTCTTCAGAGAAAAGGTGATCAGGCATTGGAGTGGGCTACCTAGGGCAATGGTGGGGTCACTGGCAGTGATGGGCTCACTGGCAGTGTTCAAAAAACACGTAGATGTGGCACACGTGGAGACAGGGTTTAGTGGTGGACCCAGCAGTGCTGGGTTGGTGGTTGGACTTGGGGAATCTTAGAGGTCTTTTCCAACCTTAACGATTCTTGATGATTCTGTGATCCCATAGCAGTGTTGGACTCTGACAGCTGTCCGTCCTGACAGCGAGCTGGACAGAAACCCCTGTGGCTCTTCTGTGGCCCACAAACCAAATAAGCCTTTTCCCCTCTTGTCTCCCTCAGCAGCAGCAGCAGCAGCAGCAGCCCATGTCCCAGGCGGCCCCCCTGCAGCAGGTCCTGGCCAGCCAGCCCGTGTGCCCCCTCCAGCCCACGCCGCACCTGCTGCCCCCGTTCCCGCCGCAGGGCTCGCAGGTGGCGGCCAGCAGTGCCCCCCTGAAGCCCCTGCAGATCTCCACCGTGCCGCAGCTCCCGCCCGTGGCCCCCTCCCAGGTAACCAATCCCCCTGGGGGGGAAGTTCCCAGCTAATAATTAACGTGATTTGCAGTTTTGGTGTGGCTGATTCTGACCGCGTGCCGGTTTAATTGGGCCGTGAGAATATTTGGGTTTTTTCCTAATTCCTGTGTATTCCTTTATTATTTATTATTTGTTTGGTGAAGCAGAAATCTCTCATGCCCAACCCTGTGGCATCCAGTTAATGGCAGTTCCAAACTGGCTTTTTAGTGTTATTTTGGTTTGTGGTTTTTTGCACCGTCCCCTCTGGCACACTCTCTTCCCTATCCCAGGCTTAACAGCATGAGAAGTTGCCCTTTTTTTTTTTTTTTTTTTTTTTTTTTTTTTTTTTTTTTTTTTTTTTTTTTTTTTTTTTTTTTTCTATTTTTCTGACCTCCTGACTTCACCATTTTCCCCTACATCTACCACCCCTGTCTCTTTCTCTGCTCTCTTTCTCTGCTCTGGTTCTGGTCCCCAGAGCAGAGATGTACCCTTCCCTTGGCCTGGGAGGTGGTTGGTGCTGTCACTATGTTTGCTGGTGACGACCACCGTGATGTGAAGCAGCTTGTGCCAAAGGGCAGGAGCAAGCCAGTGCCACGATGCCAGGGTTTGTTCTGTCACTGGGAGGTTTCAGTTGTAAAAACCCTTTTTTTCCTGGGCTCTTCCACGCTGCCTGGGTCGCAGCTCATTGAAAAACAAGGGTTTAAATAGTCTGACTGAATTTTGCATGAAGGAGTTTTGTGTTATGTCTGGTCCAATTCCTTTTAACTTCTGTTAAAATAAAAGCAACTTTTAATTAGAATGTTGCTTGAAGGCTTCAAGCTGGTATTAGAAGTAGTTTTAAGCTTCTAAGGTATAAAAATGCCTCCCCAAAATGCCTTTTTTTTTTTTTTTTTTTTTTTTTTTTTTTTTTTTTTTTTTTTTTTTTTTTTTTTTTTTTTTTTTTTTTTTTTTTTTTTTTTTTTTTTTTTTTGCTTTTGCTAATGATTTAAGCATAAATCAGTTTTTATTACTGTTTGTAAACCTCAGGAAATGAATGGAAGTGATTAACAAGCAGACATAATTATCCTCACGGCACAGGTGGTTTTTAGGGACTCGGTTTCGTACCATCAGTGGAAGCACCGGCAATTTACGCGATATCGTATTTTTTTTTTTCAGATTCCTCAGTTTCCCGTCATTCCTGCAATTACTCCTCTGGCAGGCCTTGACAGCCTCCCTCCAAACCTCTCCGACATCCCCGCTGCGAACGTGCCCCCCATTCCCGCTCCTTCCCAGTACTTCGCTCCGGCCGTGATCCTGCCCAGCCTGCCCATGAACCCCACCCTGCCCATGGCCCCCAACTCCCCCGCCCTGCCCATGCAGGCCGTCAACCTGCCCCACACCACCGTGGCTTCCCTGGTCCTGCCCTGCCAAACCATCGTGCCAAACATGTCGGCCGCCACCATCCCGCTGCTCGCCGTGGCCCCGCCGGGGGTGCCGGCGCTGCCGCCGCACCCCGGGGTGCCCCCGCTGCCCCAGCAGCCCATCTTCCAGCCCGCCTTCCAGCAGATCCTGCCCGGCGACGCGCCCTCTCCCCACCACGCGCAGAGCGCCCAGGCCGTGTCCCAGCCACAGCAGCCGCCTCCTCCCGCTCCTCCGGCGCTGCAGCCGAGCGTGATCCACCCTCCCGAGCCGGCCCTGGCTGCACCGGGGGCTGCTCACCAGGTAATCGCCGGGCGGCACTGGGCCACGAGACTCTCTGCCTCGCAGACGCTCAGTGGGGAGGGTTGTTCCTTGCTCCTGATGTTTTTGCTGGCTTCTCGGCCTCGGTGCTGGAGATGGTTGCTGGAGCTGTGAGGTTGTGGGGGGAGCAGGTGATGCCTTCACTCAGGGACAGGGGGATGTCACCGAAAGGCTTTGGACAGCAAGGGACAGGGAGCACTTCCTGGATTTCCCCTTCCTTCTCCGTCAGATTTGAGGAGATGTGAACTGCGGTTCTTCTGGGGCACGAAGGCGCGCTGAACCTTGCTGGTGCCCACAGCCCAGTCTGTGTTGGATGCAGAGGATACACGTGGGGGGGTTGGCAGGAGCAGAAGGGTTGTTTTGATGCAGAACATCTTTAAAACAGCAAAGGGAAGTGTCCATCTGGTAACAGCTCTGGAAAACTGCGTGGAAGAGCGCTGTCAGGCCTTCAGGGCAGGGATGGGTTCGAGCTGCAGACCCTCTCCCCCTTAAGAGAAATGAAGAATAAATGGATCTCAAATAGTTGCAGTATTTACAAGAAAACTGGCTCAGGACTTGTTGACAGAGTCTGTAAATACTTCTCTCGCCACATCTGTGATATGACAACGTGAAACACAGTCTGACCCGAGCAGGAGAGGGGACTCAAATCTGTTAATGATGGCACTTGGAAAATCTGTGTTCTGCCATGTCCCTTCGCCATAACATGCTGATTAAAATTCATAACATCCCATCCCAACCTGCCATGTCGTGGCATCTTCAGAGCACTGCATAAAAATTTTTAAATTTCTCTCTTGGGCTGTACGGGAATACTGTCTGTGAGAAATTTCAGCAGCATGGAGCCTGGGAATCTTACCCAGTGTTCCCAGTGGCTTTAGAGGGGTTGGAATCAAGCCCATTAGGCACAGGGAGCATGGCAAACACCAGAACTGGAGAGCTGATGTTCCCAAACCATCTTGGCAGTCGTCACTTAGCAAGTATGTATGGAAGAGTTGCATATGGAAGAATTTAGAATAAAAAGTGGCTGTTACAAAGTGCAGAGGGATATTTAAAAATACACTGATCTGATGTGAAGTGCTTTTACTGGAGAGGTATTTCTGTACATAATGCAGCGCTGTTGTTGCAGTTGATGTTTAGCACCTCTGAGTTTTGTTTTGCCCGGGTAAATTAGACATTGAAATATTTTGTCAATTATTCCCGTTATGTAAGTTTTAAAATAGAATGTCACCTCCCTTCTGTGGTGTTACACCACAGTTTTCAGTCTAAAAATCCCCCCTTGGGCAACCGTGTAACTGTGAGGTGCTCTGAAGCACATCCTGTCTTTATTTTTACCCTCAATAAAACCTGGGATAATACTTTCCAGCTCACACCCAGAACCTGCAGAGAGCATGCAGCAAGGAAACAGTGTGCCCTAGTTCCCATCTGAGTCTTGACTTTTTTTTAATGTATTTTCCAATAGCCCAAATCTCTAGGTGATGATACTTAAAAAAAAAAAAAAAAAAAGTACAAATCAGGCACAGTTCTACCTAGTACTAAAAGTCTTTTTTTCTTCCATATGCTCCTTTCTTTCCTTCCTTCTCTTCCCACAAGCTCAGTCCCCTTGGAAAAATACATGATGTACCTAAAAGGAGAATGTTCTGGTTTTAAATATACAACTCAAAAGGACTGTTATGCAGAATAACAACCCAGTCTCTAAGGTAGCTGGAATCCTGTCGCCTCGGTCCAGTTCCCACCGAGCGCTTACGCACACGAGTTATTTTAATGCACTGGAGAAATCCACTCAGATAAATGAAAATCCCTCTGTCCACAGGGGAGTGTTGGCAGGATTGAGGCCTTTGGGCTCGGCACGTTGAGGGTTAAGTTGTGACTTCAGTGTGTAAACTGCACTAAACTAAGGTAGGACACTGGTGCATACCCAGTGAAAAGGAGTTAATTGTGTCGTTTAACCCAGCTGCTGATTCTACATACATGGCAGATTTCTTAAAATATCCAAAGTCAGGTTATGGGTAGAGTGTATTTTTCGCTGTTTGGACAGTGTGGTAGGCTCACTGAAAGCAGAGCAAAGTATTTGGGAGGAATAATTCATCGCCAGAGGTTTTGAAGTGAGTCCAGAGGAGGCCATGGAGATGCTTCAGAAGGTGGAGACCCCTCTGCTCTGGAGCCAGGCTGGGAGAGCTGGGGGTATTCAACCTGGAGAAGAGAAGGCCCCAGGGAGACCTCAGAGCCTCTTCCAGCATCTAAAGGGGCTCCAAGAGAGCTGGAGAGGAACTTGGGACATGGGCCTGGCAGAACAGGACAAGGGAAAATGGCTTCAAACTGCCAGAGGGCAGGGTTAGATGGGGTATTAGGAAGGAATTCTTCCCTGTGAGGGTGGTGAGGCACTGGCACAGGTTTCCCAGAGAAGCTGTGGCTGCCTCATCCCTGGAAATGTCCAAGGCCAGGTTGGATGGGGCTTGGAATTCCATGCTGGAATTCTGTGATTTTTTTGTTTCTTAGCAAAATACGACTTTGTCCCTAGAAATTAACTGGTGCCTGAACAATGCACACAGTGTCATAATCACATAGAGAGAATCCTATTTGGTCATTTCAAAGGAAGTTTAGTCTCTTTAGTGGTTCCTGAGCTCACCCAAACCCAACCTCACTGCAGAGTTGGGGTCCTTTCTCCGTGGATGCGGGTGACTTTGCTGCCTTGTCACGTAAGTCCCGAGCCCTCCGAGCAGGGGTGTGTGCTAACAGCTCTCATTGTGTTGCAGCCCATGCCTGGACACACTCAGTTTGCTTTGGATGCTGGAGCCCAGGTGCCCGTGCTGCCGGTGCAGCCCTCGATAGTCATGTCACCGCCGTTGCAGCTGCAGCCTGAACTGGTGCCGCCCTGCGTCGCTCCCGAAGGCGCTCCCCAGGTCCATGGCAGCCTGGCCACGGCCAGCCCGCCCGTCCCCATAGACCCCAGCCTGCCTGGCCAGCCCTCTGCTCTGCTGCAGCTCCAGCCTGATCTTTCCCAGCCCCCGGGCCAGCAGCTCCCAGCCCCCTGCTCGGCTGTCCCGGCAGGCGCAGAGACATCTCAAGAGGTAGAGCCCTTCCTCTGAAGTAACTCACGGGCCTCAGCCTTAACCTTGAGCTTCCTCCTCTGTGAAATAGTGGGCTTATGGCACAAGGGAGATTATCCCCTCGCTCTGTTGAGCCGCTTGTCCTGGATGCCGGGCGACTCTGGGTCAGCGAATAATTGGCAATTCCAAGTGATGCTGGAAGCCTCATGTTGTACCTTGGGAAGTGTCTCCTTGAGGGTAGACATTTAAGAGGTTAAGAAATTCTCCTCCCTGTGGGTCAGCGAGAATTTGTTCTGTAGAGTTTCACCTGTGTTTTGTCCAGTCTTGTTTTAAATGTCTCAAGCACTTGTCCAACCAACCATCATTTGCCTTAAGAAACTGCTCCATTATCTGAGCCTTCGTTATGCAAAAGCCCTTCATGTTCCTCAGCTTGAGCCCTATTCCCATTTCATTTAGCCTTGTATCCTCCTGCATTGCCTGAAGTCTACTCTAGCCCTGGGATTTTTGTTTCTTCAGCTATTCATAGGTATTCCTAATTCTCAGTGGTCATATAAGCAGGAACACATGTTAGTGTTTTCCTTTATAGAACTGTCAGCTCCTCCTGTCTGCTATTTTGACTTTTCTTTCCATGCCCATAATTATTTAATCTTCAGTCTTGACAAAACATCGCAGAACATTTCCTTCTCTTCAGCTCCCTGTTAGCAAAGCAAAACAAAAGCCTTGGCGTTTCTACCTAATTTCAGGAAATAAGTCTGATTTGTTCTCCACTTGTGGATGGAAATGTCCCTCTGTGGTTCTGCATTCAGAACTGTTCCTCTTGAGGCTCTGTTCTGAGCTACCTTTCCTCCCGAAGTGTTTCATCTTTTCAAACTGAATCTCTTGGTTCTGCCTGTTCTTCCATGGTTTGTCAGATGCCTTGGCTCCACAGTGCAGCCTGGAATTCCATTGGAGGCACAGCTCAACGCTGCCTCCAGAAGATGCTCAGGAAGGGTGATGCCAACACTAAAGCTGGATTCTAGTTCCTCATTTTTCCTGTCCATCGGTGGCAGATGATTAATTCTTAGCGAATCAACATTCCTGCTGTGATGTAGGACGTTTCCTGGTGAATTTCTGTATTATTTATCTTTGATGGAGCAGGAATGGTAGAGCCTGTCTGTAGTACTTCACTTGCAGACTCCCCAAAAAAACCTGGCTGGGTCAGGCATGTCCATCACTCAAGGTATTCCTTCTCCAGCTGCCTTTTTTTCTGAGTTCACAGCTCATGACAGGGTCAGTGCTGGTGCCTTCAGTGCAGGGTCAATCCTATCAGAGATTCTGGAAATGCGAACAAGCCTCACCGTTGTGCAGTGTGATATGGGGGATACAAGTCATCCTGTACTACCTGAGAAACCCCTGGCCACCCAGGCACATGTCTGTCCTTCACATCCCACATCCCTCAGGACATTTAACTGCTGGTTTGCTAAACTCATTCTCATGTCCATCTGTAAGTTACCCCCTTCTCTCTCGTTCAGTTTAAGAAATCAAGCTAGCATCAAATCCGTGTGCTCCCCCGTGCTGGTTTTCTGACATACATCGGTAAAGTCTTTTTTGGGTGTAAGAGGAGTTTCATACCTGTCTGTGTAATCCAGACGCTGCATGTTGTTGCTCCTCTGCCATAACGTTTTTCTCTCTCCTGTTGTGTTCAGACGTGGCAGCTCTCACATCCCAACCGACCTGAACCGCTCAGGCAAATGAGATTTTCGTAAGGCACTTGGTCAAGTGCGTTACCAAAATGTAGATACATTATGTCTGTGTTCTCACTGTTCATTAATGTTGCAGTTTTACTGAAACTGCAGTCAAGCTTGGCATGGCCTGTGTGTGGTGTTACAGACAAGGAGTGGGGACTCACTGGTTCATAGAACTGGTGAGGCTGACTGGTTCACTGCTGAGCTTTTAACCCCAGCCCACCACTGCTTGAGTGTTAAAAATTGTAGCAGTTGCAGTTCAGGGGCTTGTTCCTAGCTGTGCGTCCATAGAAGGATTTTACAGACATATGTTTGTAAATATATACAAATATATATATAGAATTATATATATTTATGAATATATTTGGGGTGTGTGTATATACGCAGTTATATACACGCACGGGTGTGTGTGTGTCTCGTGTACAAACTGTGTAAGTTTGTTACAGCAGGGCCTGGAGCACCATCACAAATTACGTGGGAATGGGTTTACCTGGTGTAAAAGCCATGCTGTGATGTCTGTCCCAGAGCTGCAACCAGTGAAGAGAGAGGCTTTTAAGGGAAATTTGTGTAGAGAACAAGAGGACGTGATTCGAGGGTGGTGTTCTTAAACAATGAATATCCATGGTTTAATTTTAAGTTCCTCAGAAATTTTCCCACTGAGCCAAACACAATGAAAATATTCCTGGGCATATTTCAGGGAGCTATATAAAGCAATTAAGCAAATTAGCAGATACATTCAAAAATAAAAGACAATGGGTGCTGATGTGGATTTGTCCCTCAATCAGATTTGGCCACGATGGTGAGAACTTTCGTGTTCCTTTCACCATCTCCTCTGCTGTGGAGGCAGTAGAAGGGAGCTGACAGGTTGGTGGCTCTGCTTGAAAAAGTGGTTGATGCCTTGGACAGAAATGATGTTGGGAGGGTAAAATGGGACATTTGTTTTATTTCTTAAGTTCCACAACTGGTTAAACAGAATGGTTTTAGGGTTACTGGTGTCAACAGCAAAAGGTGTGTTTACTCTGCCAATACACGTTTCCTTAAATGAGTTTTTCTTGCATTTTAGGAGCAGCCAATACAGGACAAGCTGCAAACTCTGTCCCAGAGCTGTGAAAGGTATTGTTATTACCTCTTTGGCGTAAGAAATGTTTGCTTTCTGGAGGCTGTTTGTCCTGACCTGACCTGACCAGCAGGAGATGGACGGGGACACATCTAGGGAGAAGCTGGCAGTGTCCTGTGTGCCCATTCTGGCACCTCCAGCTCTTTCAATTCCTTAGTTTGGGTGCAGCATCCTCACTTGGTGCATGTGCAGCAGTATGGAACTTGTCTTTTTGTTAGGATAATTGAAGAGGTACAGCCCCTGGCTTTGATGCTGTTGAACCTGTGGGAAAACATGGCACAACCAGTATAGGTGGGTACACAGTTTGTTCCCTCTTTGGGAATAAGCTGGGTATTCCCAAATCACCTCCTGTAAGGATCCTTCTGCGGGTCTCTTAGAGGGAACAGCTGTGTGTTGAGCTGGATGCCTTGCCCACTGCAGGAGCCAGCACCAACTCTGTCCTTACTGATTGCAAAGCCTTGGGATTAGGATTTTCATGACCCTTTTCTATTTTCCTGAATAGACAGAATAAGTTAATATGAACATTAAATACACCTGTTTCTGACTGTTCTTATTTTACCCCATCACAAAAGATCAGCTGATAGAAGTCAAGGCAACCCTACAACCATAAAGTGGAACCTTTTCCCCAAGAATTTGCTGCTGTCAAATACTGTGTGGAAAAGGAGATCTAACCTTTTCTGTGGCTATAAGTAAGTTAAATATGATAGAACAAAATGAGTGCCTTTTGTAGGAAGGCACACCAAATTTTCAGTCACTTTTTGAGTCCTAAGTCTCCTGTTGCAGAGCTGTGTTTAAAGGTGGCTGTTAAGCACAGCACCAGCACGCTCACAGAGGATGGGCTCACTCTCCCAGGTGAAATTAAAAAAGACAGCTTTGAGCTGGGTTGTGCTTTTGTAGAGTGGAGGGTAGTGGCATGTGCATCACATGGCTGGGAATTGCTCCAGAGATGTGATCTGGAGTGTGTCCTATGCACTAACTGTGTTCACTTTCCCAACACAGGAGTTACACAGACAAGGTGGCTGCAAAGGGAGGAGGAATCAGCTGTTCTGGGCAGCTAGTGCAGAATGAGAAGGGAAAGCCTGGATCTTAGGAAAGGGGGTGGATCCACATGTTAGACTGCAATCCTTTTCTGCCTGTGTGGCTAAATGAACACAGGAATAAATTGTCCAGGAGAGCTATGGAATCTTACAGGAGCTTTTATAAGATCAGTTTACACACACCTCTGTGAGGACTGGTTTAGCCAGGGCTGATCAGCCCTTGGGGTAATAAATGGGCCAGATGGCCTCACAGCTTTCCTTCCTCACTTGTTTTTTTTATGAACCTCAGAAAATTTCCTGTGAATTCACTGCATGTTTTCTGTAGGCCATGTTACAGTAATGTTGTAGCAGCTACTGGCTTGGCTCCTAAAAATATTATACTGTTGCTAGGTGGTCACCTGGGATATTGGGGCACAAAACCTTTCTGATCCTTGAGAGCTGCAGCAAGAGGAGAGGCAGTCTGTTATGGGATGCTGTACTGACCTCATTCTTTGCTCTCTCTCCAGCAAACCCAGTTTGCCCCTCTGCTGGGAGTGCAGTCAGGCAGGAGCTGAGAAAAACTACACCTTGAAATAGTAGGAACTGGTGCAGTTCAGAGAGGGACTGTCAGGATCCCCGAAGTGAAGGCATAAGGTGATGTGGGCGTATATTCAGAGTGATGGGATTTTCCCTGTGGTGTTGTCAGAAACAGTAATAGATCATTTCTTGATAGGTGTGGTAGCCAGAGAACGTGCCTGATGAGAAGTAGTGCCCTTCACACACTGATCATCTTCCAGTTGACTCAGTTGGGCCAAAAAAAGTGCAAATGTGTCCTTTTTTTTTTGCCACCCCTGTTGCTGTGTAGCTTACCTATGTGTGACTCCGTTGTCTGTGACTCTGGCTTTATTTTGGGGTTGTTGTTCTTCCTTTCCCTTACAAAGCTACATGAGTCCAGATGTTGCCTCGGGTAAAGAGATGAGTGACAGCTTTGAAGGAGCACTAGGAGGTGGAAAGCAAGAAGGAAAGTCTTCGAAGAAGCATAAGAAGTCCACGCGAGCTCGTTCGCGCCAGGAGAAGTCCAACAGGCCCAAGCTGACCATATTAAATGCAAGTACAACTCGCTGGAGGGGAACTCTGGGATTCCTTTGGCTTGGCCAGGAATAAGGGTTGTTATTTCTCTGCGTGCAGGTGTGTAACACGGGGGATAAGATGGTGGAGTGCCAGCTTGAGACCCACAACCACAAAATGGTGACGTTCAAGTTTGATTTGGACGGCGATGCGCCGGAGGAAATCGCCACTTACATGGTGAGATGTGACTCCCCACGGGCTCTCAGTGCACCCAGTTCCTTCAGGCAGCTCCTTCTCACATGTGCTTCTTGCCCAAGCTGGCTGGCAGCTGTGGAATGAGGCATTAATCAAAAAAAAACCAACAAAACCAAAACAAAAACTGTTTTCCTCTCTATTTTGATGTGGCCCTGTAGGTAGAGAATGAGTTCATCTTGCAGAGTGAAAAAGAGACTTTTATTGAGCAAATGAAAGATATCATTGATAAAGCAGAAGATATGCTCAGTGAGGATACAGAAGGAGAGCGAAGTTCTGACCAGGGAACGAGTCCCCAACAAGATGCTGATAGGCTGGAAATGAGTGAGGTAAGAAATGCCAAATAAAGTTTTTTAGTTTGATTCATTTCTCTTTACAACCAGATACCGAAAATTAGTTTTGCATCCCATGTTCAAAAAAAGAAAGGAGTTTCTTAGCTAGAAAAAGAATGCTTTTCTTTGTTAAGCCTTACAATGTGAGTGCTCCTTGGGATGCTGCTCCTCTTGCACTGATACAGCTCATTCTTCTGTTGTTTCTTTAACAGGAGAAGCGTCAGTCTCAAGTGAAGACACCTGTGTATCAGCAAAATGGTAAGTGTGCCTTTGAATTTTTAGTGAGAGGTGTCCCTGCCCATGGTGTAGGGGGTTGGAACTAGGTGGTCTTTAAGGTCCCTTCCAAGCCAAACCATTCTATGATTCTATGAATACAACCTAATCTCGAGCTTTGAGGCAGTGAAGAGTTCATGCAGAGGTTTGCAACCACTGATGGTTGGAATATATCTAGAAATAAGGGTGTAATAGTGGTCCCTGCTGTTAGCAAACTGGAATATCGCAGGGCTAACTGGGATGGAGGGAACATTTGGGCATGTTTAGGGATGCCCTGAGTGACACAAGCTTGGTGGAGAAGTCAAGAAGGTGCGGGGAGGCATCCTCTGAGCACAAACAATAAATATATTTACAAGAGGAAGCCAAAAGATTACATTTGCATCAGTAATTTAATGGAAGTGTCTAACCCCTCAGTTTCCAGCTACTCTGGTATTCCAGGGGGGAAACTATGTTGGCATTGCAGGAGTATCTTGGCCTCTAAACACAGCTGTATCCGAGGGGCTGTACAGACAGATGGGATGGGCAGGGAATTTGCCCTTGGTTCTCTCTGCAAGTGCATGGTGGTGGGATAAATGAAAGGGACCCGGGTATCAAGCCTGTCTGAGTTCAAGAAGCATTTGGACAACGTTTCCAGGCACACGGTAGGATTGCTGGGGTGTACTCTGCAGGGCCAAGATCCTGGTGGGTCCATTCCAACTCAGAATATTCTGTGAGTCTCTGATTCTCTGCTGAAGGCTTGCCATTTACATGTAAGGCTTTGAGAGAAGGTGTAGAAGGAAATATTAGCAACAAAACTTTCAACATGGAAAAATTCAGCTGGATAAACTTGAAAAAATTAACAGATTTGCCACTGTGAGAAAACTGCCCACTGTTCCACTAATGAAATGTTCATGTATGTAACTATCACCCTTTTAAAAGCATGAATGCCTGAAAATAAATTTTCAAATAACTTAAAATATTTGGCAGAATTGGGAGGCACCAATGTCTGCCTTGCAGAAGGGATGAGGATCAAATTCAGAGCCATTGGTCTACTCTTGGCTGATACTGTAGAAGTTCTGATTTTCTTTCTGAACATAGAAATTAAGGTTTGGACAGGATTTGGAGACAGTGGAAACCCGTATGTTTACTTGTGTTTTTTTTTTCCATCCCTAGTTTTGCACACTGGAAAAAGGTGGTTTATTATATGTCCTGTGGTGGAAAATCCAACTACGGATGCCCCTGAGTTTTCTCCTCCAGTACCTCCCAGTGCCCAGCAGGCAGAAGGACCAGGTATGTCCAAACTTCCAGAAATGTCTACTCTGGAGCTGCTGTGTTGTCTCTTCTGTCCTCACCTGACTTAACTGTGATGATTTCACTTCATTAACTTGGAGGAAGAAAATGATGAATTTTAAGTTGTGCGTTTACAGAGTGATCCTGGTATAGAACCCAACTGGGAATCTTCATTTGAGCTTCAGAAAAGTGTTGGTATTTTAGGTCTGCTGTTAAGTAGATGAAGTCCTGGTTGCTGCAGTGCCTTTTCAGTGAAGTATTTTTTGCATAATCTGCAGATTCTAATTTGATGTGCATAACAGCTATTTTCTGGTGGGAAGCTCTAGGGGGTTGTCCCTGCAGCTGGCCGGGGGGTGTGGCTGTGATTTTGTTTCCTTAAAACATTCACCTTTTGTTTATGTTCACCTTTTGCTTATGTTCACCTTTTGTTTATGTCCTCTCTAGACCCGGAGCAGGATGAGCAGCCCGTGAGCTCCGCAGTGACAGACATGCCCGGGGTCGGGGCTGGCCAGCAGCTCCCCCTGCCCGCAGGGGTCTGTGACAGCCCCCTCAGAGCTGCTCCGTCCTTGGCACCAGCTCCCGCTGCAGCAGCTCCCACCAGCGCCCCGAGCCAGGCAGAGTTCCCAGCCCCAGCACCGCTGGGATCAGCCCCCAACATCCCGGAGCAGGCGGCGGCCGGCGGGGCCCAGCTGGAGTACCCCCCGGCCCTGGCAGCCATGCCCCCTCAGCCGGGGGGGCTGGAGGAGCCCCCCGACGCCGCCCCCACGGCCCCCCAGCCACAGTTGCCGGCGGATGAGGCCGCGTGCGTGCCCGACGTGGAGATCGCCTGCTGCAGCGTGGGGCCGCACAAGGCCGTGCCCGCCGCTCCCGGCCCGCTCCCGGCGCTCCCGGACGCCGTGGTGCTGGAGCGGCAGCCTGTGGCGCAGGCACCGCCGCTGCCGGAGGGCGGCCAGCCCGGCGCGGGGCCGCTCGGCTTCGCTGGCCAGCCCTTCCCCGACGGGCTGGGGCTGGCGGGGTCGCAGCTGCAGAGCCCCACGCAGGTGCCGCTGGCCCCGGCACAGCCGCTGCCCGTGGTGCCGCCGGCACAGCCCGTGCCCGGCCCCGGCGCGGGGGTCGGGCTCCTGCAGCAGCAGAACCCCCCCGGCACCGCCGCCGAGTCCGACGGGGAGGGACCCCCCAGGGTGGACTTCGTGGACAACACGATTAAAAGCCTCGACGAGAAGCTGCGCAATTTGCTGTACCAGGAGTATGTCCCGACTTCCTCTGCGTCGGCCGGGACGCCGGACACCTCTGTGCCGCCCGAACAGGGGGACGGTGAATTCGCCTTGCCGCCTTTTCCTGAAGAACAAGCTCCTGCGTTGGCGTTGGATGGGAGAGAACCGGGCTACAACGTCCCAGACACCGGCCAGGAGGTGAAAGCTGCTGCCAAGCCACCGGCGCCCCTCGTGCCATCCGAGCTCTTGCCCTGCCCACCGCCGGTCAGTCCCACAGCGGTTCTGCCCTTTGTACCCCCAAACCCAGCCTGTAGGGCCAGCACTGGGGCACAGCTCAGCACCCACGTGCCTGCAGTAGGACGTGTGTACATCTCTTGCTTCCCTAAGCATTTTCTTGTCTCTGCTCCAGAGCATGTTGCCTTTACTTGTTGACTGGCTTTCCAGTGTGAAAGCTCTCTTAAATTTTTCCTGTTGGATGCATCCCAGCTGATTTTACAGAAAGGCAGACTTTTCTTTTGGATTTAAAAGTGCTATAATACCCTAATTCATCTCCTTTTGTTTCCTCTGTCCAAAGCAGGCAGAAATGTGTTCATTTCTTTGTAGTTTAAGAATGCAAAACAAAAGTGGTATAGTTCTGATGAAGAGGATTGTGCCTTAATAGGAATTTTAAGAAGTATAAATTACTGGCAGTGGTTACAATTCCTACCTTCCAAGTCAGTCTGGGTAAAGCAAACACTTCAGGAGCCTTTGCCTTGTCCACACGCTGCAGCCAAAGGCAGTCACTCCATAGGTGTCCTGTTATGGTTTCTTTTGTCTTCTCCTAAGCTTGTCAGAGCAAGACTGCCCTGGAAGCCTCTAAGGCAGATGGGAGCAGGTGGTCTGGGGCAGTGGGTACTCAGTGTCTCTATTGAACCCCCATGTCATGTTCTTTCAGATAAAATCTCCAGTTTATTAAATCAGCAGATTTGCAGAATTTTGTGCTGGAAGATCAGTGTCTGTTCCAGGCCCTGGCACAGGTTGCCCAGAGAAGTTGTGGCTGCCCCATCCCTGGAAGTGTCCAAGGCCAGGTTGGACGGGGCTTGGAGCAACCTGGACCGGTGGAAGGTGTCCCTGTCCATGGCAGGGGGATGGAACGAGGTGACCTTTCAGGTCTCTTCCAACCCAAACCATTCTGGGATTCCCTATCTTATTTTAAAAGTAACATTTCTGGAGATAACTCCACCCCTGCTAGCAAGGCTGAAGCTGTTCCTGATGGACTGTATCAGCTGCTTGAGAGACACTGTACGGTGCAGGAAAGTGGCTGCACTTGAGTGGCTGTTCAGAGTGTGTTGTTTTCTAATGGCAAATGACTTTCTACAGCAGATAAAATTCTCTCTCCGTGCAAGGCATTGTGTCTCTCCAGTAATTGGAGTTTGTCCTACTAAAATCAGTGCCAATAAGGAAAGAGAGATAGAACTTCTGCAGGCAGACATACAGATGAAGAATGTGCAGTCTGGCTGGAAAAGCAAACCAGAACAAAACCTCACGCATGTATATGTATAATATACTGGGTTTTAGTAGCTTGGGCTGCAGTTCCCACTGTGTCACTTCCACTGCTTTATTTCTTCCAAGGAAGGAAAAAAATGGAGGAGTTGGAGGCAAAACTCGAAGGCCACCTCCACAGGCACTGTGAAATGGTCTAATATTCCCTGATAGTGCGAGGGCAGCGAGGGGGAGCGAGGGAAGGAGAACACAGTGCCATTCTGCTTCGTGAGTGAGACTGAAACTGTGTTTCTTTTTTCCTTTTCCTGGAAGTTTGACCAGCCGGAGGTCACCACCATCGGTCCACATCCCTCGGAAGCAAGAGGTGGGTCAGCAAGCGGAACAGGTAATGCTCCTTCACCCAGGCAGCTCTGCCTGTTCCCAATCCCTGCTCCAGGTCCCCTCCCTGCTCACCTTGTCCTGACTCCAGAGCACTGCCCAGCACTGCTGTTTAGGATCCTGGTTTTGATATAACCCATATTAAGCATCTCATTTCTGTCGACCTTCCTAAAAACTCCTTTTCGGGCGGATTTCTTTTAAGCCATGAGTGCAGTTCCTGTCTCTGGTGTAGGTGTGGGGTATTCCCATGGAAAGCTGCGTTCCCAAAGGTCAGTTTCCAGTGCTCTTTAAGAGTCCCTCAGAATTCCCAGGTTTCATAAAATCGTGTTGACAAAAATAGCCCTGATTGAGGGTCACCCCTCTGGGAGAGTGTGTGCTCTCAGGTTCTGCCCTCTGAGCCACTGCTGGCTTCACATGAGGATTGTGTCCCTGCCCTCACACCGACCTCAGGGGCGAAGCTAAACAGGAGTCAGATCCTCCCCATCAGAGATTCCAGAAGAAAAAAACAGAATGAGAGTTAATATCCCTGTACCCCTGCGGTCTTTGGGGAACTGTAACAAAGGTGGCACTGCAGATATTGTCACTGTTTAAAACATTTCATTTTGGAGTCATGGTAACTCGTAAAAAAGGGAGGTACCAATTCTGGAAAGAATGTTGTATGGGAACAGCAGATTTTAAACAACTGAATTCAGTGGGAGTTTATTGTGTTTTTTATGGGGGGTTCTCAAGGGAGTCCCATGGAGCACTTCTCCTTAGGTGCTTGTAAATACAATTCCTACAGAATCATAGTAGGAACCACAGAAAGAACCTGGGTATTTGTTTAGCTGTCTACCTATTTATTTACCTCCATTCACCTATTTATTTGCCTGAGTTTACCAATTAATTTGCCTCCATTTAGCTTTGTTGAAACTCTTAGGAAGTTTTGCAGGCTGAGGAATGCCACACTGCCCCTGCTGTCATGGTTGAGGTTGGGGAGGGCTGATAATACATATGTCTCTTGAGATCATGGCAGATCTGGCTGCCAGTTCTGTGTGACAAGCTAGGCCATTCTGGTCCTGGTGGATTTTGATTGTCCCCTGCTTTTAGGGCACTGTGAGAGGGTTTTGGGTAGCTGGCATCCGCTCGTCTCCCTGCAGGCAAAGAAGACCATTTGCAAGTGCTGTGTAGTAAAATCAGTGTATCTTAGAAACCGTCCAGCTTTGATGTATGTCACCATTTCAGAGCTCTGAAGTGACAGATTTGGCTGTGCCCTTGCTCTGTGCAGTGTGTGCCATACAAATGCAGCATTCTCAAAAGCTTGTGTGCATTGGTCTGACTTTAAAACCCGTGTCCAGGGTGGGAAATAATGACTGATTAGTCCTGCCACTAATATTGTGCTTCTGGTGTGATTGTTGTCCAAGTGGCCAACTTTTGGGCTTATAATTTCCTCTTTCAGCAGTGTGCATGTAACTTCATTTCAGGTTTGAGGTGTGGATGTCACAGGGAAGGTGTGAGACATTGGCCCGTCCGTGGTCGTTTTGTGTCTCTGAGACACCAAGAACACTGTAGGAGTCAGACCCAATGTACCATGCAGGTTTCATCCTTCTTTAGATTTTCTCCTTAAAAATTTTCAACTGACTAATGAAATTCCACACTTCTATTGTTATCTGAAATCCCCAAATCAATAGGTCTGCCCACCTGCAGATATTTTATATTGCCATTGCTATTGCCTCCTGCATTATAGATCCTGTATTACAAAGATTGGGTATGTAAATTATTCTTCAGTGCTACATTTCAGTTCATCACAATAAAAATATTGGCTTTTATTATATAAAAACATTTGAGGCATTAATTATTTTGTTTCATCTTTAAAACAGGACCAGCTGCAACCATCACTTCAGCTCCTGCTGCTCCAGCAGAAGGTCTCCTTCAGGTAACCAGAACTCGGAGCAGTTTTGATTGTGCTCGATGGTTACAGTGACTTCCAAAATTAATCTCTCTTATTTCCTGCAGGTTGCACCTACACCATCAAGCATAACTCCCCAGCTGGAAGCTTCCCAGAGGAGCGAGGAGGCAGAGAGGATGGCTTCGCCCGCGCACACGGAGAGCGTACTGCGGCGATCGACAGCAGATGGGGTGATGAATAACCTTCACAGGGACGGCTCCCTGGACTCTGGTTCCTATGGCAAACAGGCCGAGGCTCAGGAGAGCGGCACCCCAGCCAAAACCATTGGCAGGTTCTCGGTGGTCAGCACGCAGGATGAGCTGACTTTGGCGTCCCCGCACTGCCTGAGGTTCTCGGCGCCGCCGGACGTGTACCTGGACGAGCTGCCCTCCAGCCCGGACATGAAGGCTGCCGTGCGGCGGGTGCAGACGGCCTCGTCCGTCGATGTGCTCTGCGACCAGGCTTCCAGCGACTCCGCCGACGAGCCCTTCCCTCGGCAGCCCGCTGCCGCTGCCCAGCTCTCCCCGCCCAGCAGCAACGCAGCCACGGACTTGATCAAAAAAGCTGCTGCTTTCCTGCAGAGGTCCGGCAAAGGCGGCTCCCCAGGCCTGGAGTCGCCCAGCGGGCAAGGGGCGAAGATTCCCACCATCAACATAACGTCCTTCCACTCACAGTCGTCCTACATGAGCAGCGACAATGACTCAGAGTTTGAAGATGCCGATATGAAGAAAGAACTGCAGAACCTGAGAGAAAAGTATGTTGGGTCGCGATAAATGCGAGGGAAGCTTGTGTTGCCATAGCTTGGCAGCAGCTCAGCTTAGGATGAGCAGAGCTGTGATAGTAAACTGGTTCTGGGGGGAAGCGGTCTCAGAGGAGGGTTAGATTAGATTTGGAAAAAGGTTCTTCCCCCAGAGGGTGGTTGGCACTGAACAGGCTCCCCAGGGCAGTGGGCACAGCCCCAAGGCTACCAGAGCTGCAGGAGGGTTTGGACGATCCTCTGGGACACAGGAGGTGACTCTTGGGGTTGATCCTGTGCAGGGCTCAGGATTGGACTGGATGATCCTTGTGGGTCCCTTCCAACTCAGCGTGTCCTGAGATTGTGTGAAATTAGGCATCACTGAGACCCTCCTCCAAATGTCACAGTGTGTCCTTCTGTGCATCACCTTATGTGCCAGTTCCATATAGAAAAATAATTCATAGAATCACAGAATGGGTTGGGTTGGAGGGGATCCTAAAGCTCATCTTGTGCCACTCCCCTGCCATGGGCAGGGACACCTTCCACTAGCCCAGCTTGCTCCAAGCCCTGTCCAGCCTGGCCTTGGACACTTCCAGGGATGGGGAGTCATCACAGGTCAACAGTTACAACTTCACATACTTGCAGTTGATTGTCTTATAACCAAGGGCTGTTTTGTTTCATCTTTTATAATGAATTACCCTGTCAACATGTGGTGCTTTGTCAAATACATCACTTGCAGAGTTGTGGTTTTTTTTTTTTTTTTGGTAGGCATATGAAAGAAATTGCTGAACTCCAGACCCAGCAGAAGAATGAGATCGAGGCACTGTATATTCGGCTGGGGAAACCCCTTCCTCCCAACCTGGGCTTCCTTCACTCTGCCCCGCCCAGCGGCCGGCGCCGAAGAACCAGCAAAAACAAATTGAAAGCTGGGAAACTCTTAAACCCTCTGGTCCAGCAGCTCAGGAGTGGAACATCAAGCACAAGTAGGTGCACTGGGATGCTTCCTTATGCCTGTTGCTTGTGTCAGTTGTGGCTCTGCTGTGTGATGGCCGGGACTGCAGGGAAGGATGGAGTTCTTGTTGGGTTTGGACAGTTTTATCCCAGCTCCCAGTGCTGAGCCATCCCTGCCTGCTCTGCATTAGTTACAGCGCTTGGCAGAGGAACAATATTCCACTTTAACTTGGAAAACAGCCTGGTTGCATCTCTTCCTTTGTCCAAATGCTATTTACTGATGTTTGTATTCACTTATTAGGTGCTGTATCTTCTTCTTGTTTACTTTTCCCTCCCAGATGCCATATGAAAGAGATGGGATTGCATTTGCTCCCCCAAAGGATGGGAGGTAAATGCAGTTGTTAAACCACGAGGTTTTGACCATCTGAAGTAGTGTGAGATTTTTGACACAGTAGTGCAGTCTTGAGTTGTTACCTCTTGGAAAAGTGTAACAATATAATTGAGCTGGGAAGTGTCAATATACCCCAGTACCTCTTTTCTTCAGTGAAATGTAAACTAAAGTATGAATAATTTCTCTTCAGCTTAGTTCACACTGTTATTTAGGGGAGCAGAGCATTTCCAGTATCCACCCCGTGTTTCAAACCTGGTGGCTTTTGTTTTCAGTGTCCCCTTTGAATTTTATTTCATCAATCAGGTGCAATAGACAGGATGTTTAGGAGGTTTTTGCTTTTAGGTAAGGATTTCAACTGAGATGGCAAAAACAACATTCAGAGGCAGTAAGTTCTGTGGCCCATCTTGAGTCTGAGTGTTCTTTCCCTCAGGGACTGAAGGAGTGGTCAATGCTTTCTACCCCTTGAGCTGCAGTTTGCCTGATGTCCGTGGTTTTCACTTCCTTCCCCTGTGATGACATACTCAGAATGGCAATTCTGTCCTTGGGACATTCATTTTCCAGTTGGTTTTTGGGTTGTCTCTAGCTGTTTTCCCTCTCTCTATCCAAAAAAACTACATCTCTCTCCACTCACGGATCTTGGCTTATATCCACGTGCTACCTTAGTCCAAAGAATTTAGGCTTATTTCTGCATTAAATGTCACAATTCTCTTTTTTTTTAAATCCTTGTCATCCTCAATTGGAGCCCAGAAATCTGCTCAGTCAGGTCACTGGTGCACGCTCTCCTTCATTCATTCCTTTCATGTTATTTTCCAGGTTTTGAGACACTGTCTAAAGTTCCCATCACCTTTGAGAATCTGTTTTCCTCTCTGAATCTTCTCACCCTGGATTGTTTAGATTCCCCATTTCTTTGGCCTTCCTCAGTCCTTTCTTAACATTGTTGATGTTATTGTAATGTCGATTCTCTGGTAAATCCATGTAACAACGATTACAAGGGTATTTTGCTTCTAAAGTGTCTTTACTCAAGATATCTGTGTAGACAGAAGTATAGATACAGAAGTATACATACAGATATTATCTAGATATCTGTAGATATTTATTTATCCATAAATATGTAGATAGATGCACAGATACAATTATTTATTTATAGATTATGTATGAAATTATAAATGAATAGATGTAGAGATGCAGGTCTTTATATAGAGATATGAATTTGCACATTGATACTTTGGGTAAAATATAGAATATAAAAATATATAAAACATTTAAAATATAGAGAGAGAATATATAATATATAAAACATAGAAAAACACCAGAATACACCCAAATACTCTGTAATCATGTGTTACATGGATTTATCAGCAGAAACATCTACCAGTGGCAATGAGAGTTGTACTCAGAGAGCGATAAACACAAATTTCCACACGTCTGCAGCAACTTTTTATTCCTCTCCGTTTGCTTAATTTCCCCTTATTTTCAGGCTGGGATTTTTGTCTGGTGGTTTCCTGGAGTGTCCTGTTGCATTATGTTCTGTCTGTTTGCTCTTCCAGGTAATCTTTCAGACTCTAAAGACTCACCCCACAAAGAAACAAGTAAATCCCAGCCGGGCTCCCCCGAAGCAGCCGCGGTGACGCCCCCCACACCCCCCACCTTCGGGAAGGCTGTGCAGACCCAGCAGCCCTGCTCTGTCAAAGCCTCTCTGTCCTCTGACATCTGCTCCGGCCTGGGCCCCGATGGAGCCGACGCCAACGCAAGCTCTGGCCAAGGTGATTTTTCTTGCCGGCTGTTTCGCGTCTCTTTCCAGCACATGCTAAATTTAGTTCCCTTCCCTTAGGCTTGAACTTTTTAGGAGTGATAGAGGAGCGTGGAACCTTTGAGAATCCAAATTACTGGCTTGTCTTTAAAAAGATCATTGCGGTGTTGTCAGAAGAGCAAAATTAAAGTATCTTTCCGAGTGTTACCGACGCTCGAGAAGGCGTGCCCGAGACGTTCTTGATTTTTAGGAAGGAAATACCTTTCAGTGGCTTTATACTGACACCTTCTCTGGAGTCTGCCTTACGGATTCCTGAGAAAAAAAAAATGAAAGGAAAACAAAAAAGATACAGAAGGATAGGAGACTTGTTTCCTTTGGTTCGTTCTTTTTAACCCCTCGATTCTGGTAGACCCCGAGTTCCTAATTATAAACTACTAAACTGTCTTGGGTGCAAGGGAAAATAAAAACAAAACTAAAAGAAAACCAAAGCCATGGGGGCCAAATTATGTTTCCTTTCTCTAAGGGGTTCACTTTGTGCATGATTTTGGAGTCCCAGCTGCAGGACTGTAGATTGGCTGTGCACCCCAGCCCCCACCTCTGAGACCTCCGTGTATTGCCCCCGTTGTAAGGCTCTGACTGATCTTGTTGCCATGCATATGGGAAGTTCTAATGATGATTAAAATACCTTCCTCTCATTGCACATCCTGCCAAACTAATCTACAAAGTATCTATCTGTCCTCTTCTGCTGTTATTGCATCCTTTGTGTATGGTCAGTGAACTTGCTCCTCTTTGGCAAAGTTAAGGGGGAGATGTGGAGGTTTAACTAACAAAGCTGATTTGACTGATGGTTTAGGACATCTGATCACAGCTACTTGTACTTTATAAGTGTCTTTGTTTTCTTCCCTTTATATTCATTTGCAGGCTGGACGGTTTTCCACCAAACGTCTGAGAGAGTGACCTATAAATCTAGTAGCAAACCTCGTACCAGATTCCTCAGTGGACCTGTGTCTTTGTCCATCTGTTTGTATTTGTTCTTTTGTATTTTATCACAGTCCATCTTTCTTTTACCCCCTTTTTCCAATTCCATGGTTTATATCTCTAATATGTTTGGCAGGATGCCCCTTTTTTCTGAAACATCTTTTCTTTCTTTTTCTCTTTCTTTTAAGTAATCATCATGAACACACCTTATTTATATTAATTTTTCATATGAAAGCTTTTTTTGCACTGCTTTTGGCTCGTGCCTGGGCACCAAAAGCATGTGTGGAAGATCTCATCATTTATTATATATAGCCCGATGGTAAATTTTACCCTGGACTTACCAAAGCTTTTGTACTTTATGTGATTTCTGTTGAAGTAATTTTATTTGCAATGTGGCAAATATACATGTCTGCTGTCCCGGTTCCAGCGACAACAAAACGAAATCCATCCTTCTGTAGACGAATGGTCTCTTTCACACATGTTTGGACTCTGAAGACATGCATGTAGCAAGCTGATACAGTTCTAGAAGGTCACTGGAGGGTATAACTTCCATACAAGGGCTGTATTAACACAATATACAGTACTGTTTATATCCACTCTATTTTCTTTAATTTTTTTCCCTCCCCGCTCTTTGCATGTGGAAATGCTGAGACAACAGTGCTCCAGCTAGTTCTCTCCAAATCTGTGTCCTAGGTGGGCTTTTCCCCATGTCACTTTAATTCCTTTAAGCGAGCAGTTTTTGATGTTACTCGTAGCAGCAGGAAGATCTGGTTACTCCAAGGGGGAGTCCCATCACCTTTTTGTGTAAGCTGATCTGGCTGAAGCACTTGACTCAGTTTATTTTCTTATGACCTTATGTGACCTCAGAGATGAAGTCAATTAGCAGTTCATCAAAGCATAAATAAGTAAAAAGCAATATCAGATTTTTAGATGATACTTGGAAATGGATTGTTAGGATCCAGGAGTTCTGTCTCAAATAACTGTGCACCTTCTATTTGTACCCTATTCGTCTGATTTCTTAAGTAATTGGCAATTCCACCAAATGCTATCAAGCTATTTATTTAAAAAAAATTAAGACTTTTTTACCCAATTGTAGATGCTGCTTTTTAGGCAAACGGATTTTGCTTGTACAATAAAGATATGTTGTGCTGAACAGGTACTATAGGCCACTTACATATAACCTTAAAAAGGCTGATGACGTTTTTGAGGAAGTGTTTGGTTAAATAACTGCGGGTTTGCATTAATATTGGAGTTCTGCATCGCTCATCACTCTCCAAGTGGTTCAGATCAAAGCCACAAGACCGCTCAAATACACTCCTCCTAATTTTACGAGTAAACAGTATTCTAAAAAATAATCTTGATTTTTTTTGTTGCTGTTGTTGTTGTTGTTTGAGCTCCCTGAAAGCCCAAGCACTCAGGTTCTTGAAAACTGACGTTAACTGAATTTCTTATCATGTAAGTTTTTAACAACTCGTGAAGTCGTGAGACGATTTTGCATTCCGGGATTTTTTCTGAGAACCTGAGGGGAATTCTCAGCTCTTGAATGTTCCCATTTGGTGTTACAACGGCCACAGTAATTTCTTCCTCTGCACATGTAATTGCCAGAAGTCGTTTCATGAATCTTCCAGGGAATTATGATTCAGTAGGATCCAAAAAGACCGGGAGATGGCAATTAAAAGCCAGCGTATTAAAAAATGTTTGGGTGCATGGCTATTGTGAATGAAACCAAGGGAATATGCAAATCCTTCGAATGGTGAAGTTTTCCTGAGGCTTAAATAACTCAGCATGACTAATTGCTTTCTGTTCTCAGCCCATCTGCTCGCTCGGGTTCTTCTGGGCGTCGTGCTCAGGAGGAGGTTTGCACTCCCCCCCATTCCTGAGTCACACCAGGAGATGGACCACGTTTCAGGCATCTAACCCTGACACATCGATCCAGAGTCACCACTGAGCAGATTCAAACCCTGAGAGCACAGCCTGTGGTTTCCAGTGCTGCCTCTCACTCGGGGTGCCAGACAGGTCCCTTAGGGCTGAGCTGTGGGCAGGTTCTGGTGGGGCAGGAGGTTATTCCAGCTGTTTTCCCAGGGAACCCAGCAGGCTGGTGATGTGTGTGTGTGTGTGTGTGTGCGTGTGTGCAGGGATGGGGATGGGTCTGGAAGGACGTACAGCTGGTGGTTCTGCTGAGCAGCCATGACCAGGGGGCTCAGGAAAATTAGTGCCTGAGGAAGGCCAGGTTGGAAGAGGCTTGGAGCAGCCTGGGCTAGTGGAAGGTGTCTCTGCCCATGGCAGGGTTGGAATGAGATGGGCCTTTAAAGGTCCCTTCCAACCCAAACCATCCTTTGATTCTATTATCTGAAGATGATAATGATGGGAATGCCAGTGGCTCATGTTTCTCTAGAAGGGATGTAAGTTGACCCAGAAATCAGGCAAAGCCAAACATTTGGACCAGACACTAAGCATGCCCTAATCCATGTCCTGTCCCTGGAAGTGTCCAAGGCCAGGTTGGACGGGGCTTGGAGCAGCCTGGGCTGGTGGAAGGTGTCCCTGCCCATGACATGAAGTCTGGAATGGGATGATCTTTAAGGTCCCTTCCAACCCAACCCGTTCTAGGTAGGGTTCCATGGTCTGGGTGAGGATGTGCCAGGGGTGCAGGGCTGAGACGTGGCCGTGCAGTGCCAGCAGCTCGGGGACATGTCCGGGTGCTCCTGAGCCTATTCGCAAATCGAGGTTTCCCTGGGAATTTTTTGTTTGAGAGCTGTTGGGAAAGATTGGGCTGGATTTTCAGAAATGCTCTGAATCTGTATGTTTGAATAAGGAAGACCAGCCCTTTGGGGAGGTGAAATATTCCAGCAGGAGTCCTCTTGCTGCATTAGCAGAAAAGTCAGCAGCAACTTGAACAATAAATGTTCAGATGCATTAAAGGCAGTGTCACAAAGTGTCTTGCTCTGGTTACAAGATCCATCAAACTTGAGCAGTTTCACAGTGTTCTCCAGGACCTTTTGGTCTGTTCCCCATGTCAGATATTGATTTCTCCTTCATATGTTTCATAAAATAAAATATTTTTTATGGGCTCCAACAATAATTTTAACCTGAGTTCCTTTCCTGGGTTAAATTGCAAGGGTGTCCTAGGGAAGAGTTTCTGCTAATTGTGAGAGGAATTTTCAAAGCTCCATTTGGCTCAGGCTTGGAACCTTGTGTAAAGCAGTTTGTGTAAGGTCTGTAGCAGTTCATATATTGTATGTGCATATGCAATTATGGACAGTTTATAGCAGTTTATTACCATTTCCATTTTTTTGGTAGCCTTCCAGCTCTTTGGCAGCTGTTGGAGTGCAAATATGGGACAGTGGATTTTTTCTGTCCCGTATGATATAATAGCTATTTAATTCCTCAGATAAGAATCTGGAACTGGAGGTAAACACTCTGCTGAACTTTCACAGCCTTACATTAAGTCTTAATTATGATTCGTCTCCTTAACTTTACAGGCCTTAAACCCCTTGATTTTAGCAGTAATACAATTAATCTGGTGAATTAGATCTACAAAGTGAATTTTTAATTGAGTTGTTTGAATTTAAAACCTGCTGTAGCCGATGACTGTCAGTCCCTGCTTCAGGCAGAGTCACCACTAAGGGAAGGTTTCCCATCTCCCAAACCCCACACTGTGTGTGGTTGTGATGCTGCTCGGAAGAGCAGCTCTCTTTTTGGTGACTGACTCTCCTGTGATATTTTCCTTAAAGCCAGCTCTCCTCACACGGTGTTTTGTGAGTCTGTCGAGTGTCACCGCTCTCCGTCACTTCCCCACGTGCCTGGGGGCCCTGGGGCAGATTTGGCACCTGAGGTGCAGGGAAACCTGTGCCTGGGTGTGCAGGAGGTGGAGGGGCTGGTGATTAAAACGTTTTTTACATGCATTTGAGCACGTACTGCAGTCAGCTGCCTGCTTTTGTTTCTCGCAGGCAGTTGCTTTCCATTTGCATTCATGTTGTGTAAGTAGTGCCTTTGCTGCAGGAAATGGCCTCCTAGGATTGCTGCCACGGCCAGTTCCATCATGGGAGTGCTTTCCATAATGGGAGTTGGTAGCTAACTTTGGGATAGGCAAGGTAAGGTACCTGTGAGGGAAAAGAGGGGAAAAGATTTAAGAGTGCAACACAGATGGTTGAGTTGTGAATGTGACTGTTTGTTACCCGGGCTTTGAGATGAGAACTAAACTTGGTCATGCTTGCATTGCTGTAGTCTTGTCCTTCTGATTTTCCCAGGATAGAAACTTATATGAACTATGTGCAATAACAAGAAATTCTTTCAAAGCAGTCCTCTGTTCCTCCTCATGCCACCCATATCCAAGCACAAACATCTCTTCTCCCTTACTTCCTCCCTCGTTTCTTTACTTTCTCTTCCTCAGTCTCTGACTGACATCTCTTCTTTCTCCTCTGAGGACTCATTCAGGGCCTGTGTCAGCCTGGACCTGCAATCTCTGAGTTTAAAGCTTCATTTCTGGCACTGTAACATCAAATACCTCCACTGTTTACTCTAGAGAAAAAGCACATCCATCCTCTACCTTACTTTTTTGCCCCGCTCTGATTTTGCTCATGTTTTCAAGTGCTCCTTCCCAACGAATTCTCCATAGCCCATGTCAGACACTCATCTCCTCCCATACCATAACAATATTTTTCTTACCAAGTCCAAAATACCTTTCAGGAAATTTGGCACCCAAATAGCAACGGTGCCGATGTCTGGCAAGATCTGACAGTCGAGTCGGGGTCTCGGCACACTTTGGCACTCTGCTATCTGTCAACAGACCGTGTGAAATCACGATGAAGGATGGAACGAGATAATAATGAAAAAAAAAACCAAACCACGTGGTTAAGATGAATTAAAACTCAGCTACTCTGCTGGATTTTACTTTTCTGCACTTGGACAAGGCATAAGGGAAACTCATTCACAGTTCCGTTCAATTGAAGTTCAGAATCTCACATTTAGACACAAATCCTACCAAATAAAATATTTGGAAACAATTGGCCTCAGACCTGCAGAACAATGTATCTTTTTGGACTTGTAAAACAGGAGCTTTAGGGTTGTTTTATGGTTTGTCTTTGCAGCCAGACTAGCTTGACTTGTTCCTGAAAGCATTTTTGGCCTCCAATCACAAACTGAATTGACATCATTTCCTGCATTAATAGCTAACGAATCAAAACCTCCTATTGGGAAGCCAAGGCGATTTGGGGAAAAAAAAAAAAAAAAAAAAAAAAAAAAAAAAAAAAAAAAAAAAAAAAAAAAAAAAAAAAAAAAAAAAAAAAAAAAAAAAAAAAAAAAAAAAAAAAAAAAAAAAAAAAAAAAAAAAAAAAAAAAAAAAAAAAAAAAAAAAAAAAAAAAAAAAAGAAAAGAAAAAAAAAACCCAAACAACCAAAACACACAAAAAAAGAGAACTAAAACCTAAACAAATGCATCTTTAAGTCACGAGCCCTTGCTTTTGGCATGCTGTGGTACTTTCCAAAGCTTCTGAATGGCTGCACATTAAGAAAGGTTTGAGCTGTCCAGTTATTTAGGCTTCCTTTACTCACCTGAACTGCTGACTTTGTCTGTCCTTTCTTGCATAATAACTACTTTTTGATTGCTTAAAAGTACAGAAGCTTGTCCGTCCGATTCGTTGTGTTTAGTCTTACCTAATTCTGTGTGTCTTGTATTGTTTTACCTTGTAGGGTCCACCTTGAAACGACTATGTCTAGGCAAAGATCACAGTAGTAGTAACTATCCCATTTTTGTTTCTCAGTATTTCCTTCATGGCATGGGATGTTCTTTGCTTTTTTTATTTTTATTTTTATTTTTTTATTATTAATATATTTTTTTTTTTTTTTTACTAAAAGCTAGTTGTTTAATTACTAGAGCTGATGCACTTCTATGAGATACATAAATTGTGGTACTTTTGAGACTAATGCATGTGCTGTGATGTCTTGGGAACCTCGCATGCTGCAAGAGAGTTGTGGTGTTTCTGTGTGTGTGTGTGTGTGTGAGACGTGCACGCATGCAGCCAGGAAACTGGGTTCAGTGTCTGTCTCTGAAATACACACCTTTATATGACTGCAGTTCTCTGCTGGAGGAATTGAGAGCTTAAAACCATCCCGGCCCCCTTGAGCTGCATGAAAATGATAAAAAACACCAATTTGAAGAGCTTTCCCTCTCAAAAGCCTTATTTTTCTCACTTTCCCCCAAGTAAAGGAAAAGGGATTGAGCGGTGTTCACTCAGAAGTGACGTTGCAGGTTGAATGCATGATCATTTAAAGGTCATTAACGTATTTTATATAATCGTATAGGACTAATTAGTGGACTCGGTTTCATTGGCTGGTAACTGATTAACAGAGAAAAGAAGACTAAATGTTCACGTTTGCTTATGTTATAATTTTACTACAGTTCTATGAACTTTTTGCTTGGAGAGATGGTCTTTATTTCCAATTTTTAGCTATCTATCTATCTATCTCAAATACAGTCAGATGAAAAGCTGCTTTCCATTTCCTGCTTAGGTCAGATTCAGGCTCCCTCAATTGCAGTTCCCTGATGAGCTTGCTGTGCTAGACTTGTAGTTACCAACACAGAAAAAGCACAGAAAATTTTCTTTCCTAGCGAACATATAAAATTAAACCTCTGTCAATATTCTTCCTGACTGTTTTTATCTATACCAAAAGTTCCTTATCTTTGTCTCAAAAATTCACCCCCCTGCCCCCACTAATTCCTCTCTCCTTTGTCTTCTATACATTCGTGTTGCTAATGGGGCTTTTTCCCCAAAAATACACAAGTGACCAAATAAATTGTCCTGACATCACTGATAGAGGTGGTGAGTTCCCCAAGCCTTTGAGGCGCTGGAGCCAGTCCTACCTGTAACCTCTGCCACAACTGCATTTCTCCAGGAGGACAGTAAACTTAATGCAAGCAAAATAAAGGGTAAATCAGTTTTATAGTTTTAGCAATACATCCCACCTCCCACTTTCTCGTGGGGGTCTCTGGTGAGGTGTTGTCTGCCTCAGGATGGCAGCCTTACTGGGCTGCATTCCTGGCTTCTCTCCCCATCCTTAATTTCCCCAGAGAGAAATTAGTGGCCAAGGTAGCATGATGTGATAGAAAATACAAACCCATTGGACTTGGACCATTTCTTTAAGCAAAGGAGTTCTGTAGCCAGGAGAGGGGGAGGGTTACAAGTCTGAAAAGCCACCGTTGGAGTGGCAGTAGATGAGAAGGTGTTTGAGCTGCAGAGCTGAGGCAGAGACGTCACTGTCAGTTCTCTCTGTGTGGTTTTCCAGGATCCTCGACCAACAGCCTGGTGACGTGTCCTGAGCCCCTCCCGCAGTCGACGCTGCAGGTTCAGGCCAACAACAGTAACAACAAGAAAGGGACGTTCACAGATGACCTGCACAAGCTGGTGGACCAGTGGACGAGCAAAACTGTTGGAGCTGCACAGACAAAACCTTCTTTAAACCAACTGAAGCAGAACCAAAAAAGGCAAGACATGGAGCCAAAGGCTAACCCCATGCAAACGCAGAATGAGACATGTGGAGTAAGTGGCCCTCCTTGAAGGACATACCTTTTGCTATGTGTCTGGCAGCCTTTGCAGAACTCAGATGTGGAGGAGGACATAGACTAAAATTACTCCAGATAGATGCTTCCTATAAATGTCCAGCTCTTTTCGTTCAGTACTAAACCGATTTTTTTTTCTTTTTTTTTTTTTTTTAATCGTCTTTTGGAATAATCTTAAGGGATATATGGGCTGCAATATATATATATATATATATGTAAAGTATATATATATATATAAAAATATATATTTTTAAATTCCAAACTGCTTATTAACAGCGATACACAGCAATACTCATATCATTACCACTTGTTGCTCAACTTCGGTTTCAACTTACTAAAGTTTTCTTGTTTTTGGTGTTTAATATTAACCTTCCTTGAACAGAACAGTGGCTGGTGGCTTGGGGGTGGTGAGCCGTTGTTTGAGTGGAATTGGAGTGAGTACTGAGGGGACAGCTGGACGTGTGTGCTGACTCTTGCTTGTTGGACTGGGCATCTTGACAATACCATCCTCAGAAATGCTGGGAAAGTATCCTACAGCAAAAACAGGCCCCTGTCCCTCCCCTCCTGTTTTCAATAGCAGGACAAAGCCATTGCAATGTGTGTGTGTGTGTGTGTTCAGTGCTGGTTTTCATGGCTGAGGGGTGATACAGAAGGAGGCAAAAAAAAGGATGAGTGCATATCTAGGACCCCAGTTGACCATTCTGTCCCACCCTGGCCTGGGTTTCCAGAGCTCTTCCTTCTCCTCTCAACTAGAGATTGTTTGACTAATAATTTTTGCTGGCTTCATTTTTTTTGGAAAAATGAGAATTGAGCCAAAGTAGAGGAAAACAACAGTGAGGAGCTGCTTTGCAATCCCTCAAAAGCAAGAGAACTAGATCTGGAAAATAGACCATTGCCTTTTTTGGCATGTAGAAGGAAAAATAAAACAATGTGTAGCACTAGTAGCTCTGTAGTTGTTGGTGAGGTGAGATGTGCCAAGGGGGAACTGCTCCAGTGCCTCTGCCTTGGGACCTGCAGGTTCCTGAGTCGGTTGGGTCACTGACTGCCCAGGGAGAAGCGTTTGTGCAAATTTAATAAGCAATTTTAATTTCAATTCTTAGCTGCCAAAGTGGGTGAAAAGTAAATAATCCTTCTACGTAGTAATGATTTAACCAGCTCCAGAGTGACATGTACTTGAAGATTTATATAGAGTGATGGTGAGGGCACAGATTTTGCCCTGTGAAGTCACTTCTTACCTTCTTTTGATGTGCTTTCTGTGGTGTTTTGGTGTCTTTCCCCTGAGACTCCTGCAGAAGTTTGAAGTATTCGATGTGGGTGTTTCACCCCCTTGTAACTGTGGAAAAGTGAGTGGTTATTTTTCCTATTTAAATCACCCATTAATGTCCATTTAGAGTTAATTTTACCTCCTGCAGTCGTGGTGTCTCTGTTTCAAAGCCTGTGGGGAAGGCAGAGTGTCGCTGTGAGAGCAGCTCTCAGGACACCGATCTTAGAGGGTTTGTCTTTCTCAACCATGGCAGTTGTCCCAGGGAATCAGCAGCAGGGCTGACTGAAGTCTTCTGGAGGTGATTTGCCAAGAGCACGGAGAGGTTGGGATTCCCTGCTCTTCATTTCACATCATCCCTTGTTGCTTGGAGGAGTGGCATCAGTTGGAGCCCTGGTGTGAGTGAGACCTGGGGTGGTTTGGGGCGTGAAGTCCTCATAAGGACCATGGTGGCTGCAGCAGAGATGGCAAGGACAGATGGCAAACATTCCTGGTGTGGGTTTTGTTGGGTGTTTTGGTCTTGAAGATGGCACAGAATGCTGTGGGTGACAGAAAACAGGGGCAGGAGGATGATATAAAGGACTTCGGCAGGGGTTGGTTTGGGAGTTGAGCATCGTTCTGCTGTTTGAATTCCAACCTAAAGGGGAAACTGAAGTTGAGGGAGGAGAGGGAACTTGGGAAATAACAGAAAGGATGGGAAAGAAATAGCTTTCCAAGAGGGAGAAAGCGAAGCTCAGTCTGTACTTCTTCAGTCCATCTGGTAGCACCGTCTTTTGTCGCCTCTTTTGATCAAAAATGCCTTTGCAACAAAAGAATAAGGACCACTAAGCAGATTTCCAGCCCATCAGAGAAGGTTATAATAAGGTTTTATGTTGGAAATAAAGGCTGAATAAATAGGAAACACAGGGATTCTTATGCCTTTTGTGTTTTGTTTTGTTTTGTTTTTTTTTTTCAACTGGAATAAACAGCAGGAAGCTGTTAGGGCAGGTTGTCTCGTCTCCTCGTGTGGGGGATAGGTTTTGGGAAAAGCTGTTGCTGGTCCCGTGTGATGGTCAGAACTGAGGGGCTGGGGGGCAGCAGTATTTGTACCTTTGCTTCTCCACTGTCTCTGGGGGTTATTGGACAGAGAGATGGCTCCCTGAAGGGTTTTCATAAGGGCAAGAGTGAAGTGAATTGTCTCATAATGCAAAATACATTTAAAAAAAATTATGCATTTAAAATATTAACTATACATTTAAATAGAAAAACGTATTTTTCAATTTATTATTTTCTTTTACTCTCCACCCACTGTGATTATTATGCAGGGCAGTTGTGTGGCTGCCTTCAAGTCTTCTCTTTCCCCCTGGAACCAGAGGGCTCTCTTTCCTGAGTTGTCTCTAATTTACTTGAGATGCTTCTACCACGAGCAGCAACTGTTTTACTGTGAGTGCAGTATTTTAGATGATTTTTTAGCAAAGTGAAGGCTACTCTTTAAGGCTCAGAAGAGAAACTGATGGTGTGCTTAATGAGAGTGAGTGGTTCTATTTTTTGGCATCAGAAGTGTAGACAGCAATGAAATAATTGGGATGCAAAGCAAAGATTTATATTCTGCTTTGTTCCTGTGGAAGTTGGGCTGCAAATCCTGGTTAGAAGTTTGCAGGGGTGGGGGGAAACTTCAGGCATTCAGTTGTGTCACAGGAACACTGAAATGTTTCTTCCTAGATGTTTTAAGGAAGCATGGAATTGCAGGTAGATTCTCATCAGCAGTAGTTGGAACTATAATAGGAGATGTTAGAAAGAACTGAAGTCAAACTGCCTGATAATGGTGATTTCTGTCTTTGTCACATGCGTGAAGATATGATGAAATAATCCTTTTTTACAGGTAACTCTGGTTGGCACTGGTCAAGGAATATGCTTAGGAATGTGAGCTGCCTTCTGTGCAAGTACACTGAATACTGGGTACTTACAGGCACTGTTTGAAGATACCTGGGAACGAAGGGCTTGCCAGAAATGTTTTCTGTTCTCCGTGCTGTTCTGGAGCTCCATGGGTTTTTTTAAAAGGCAAAAAAAATTACCCCCCGAAATAAGGTGTAAACATGTTCCCAGTGCATGGTGAGGCTGTTCCTGTGAACACGCAGGGTTCTGTGTCAGTGGGTGGCGTGTGCCGGGCGCTTGGACACCGTCAGTCATATCTGCACATCTACTGGCACTCCCTAACTCTGGGCTCCATGGGCTGACTGCCAGGGAGCTGGAGGTGGGCACGGATGCCAAAACCAAGCAGGAGGACTAGTGCCACCTTTACTGTGTCCTGTTGGGTTGGAAGAATAGTAAAAAGTGAATCTGTGTTTGAAGCTTGGTCTGAATGTCAGAATGACTTTCCAGGAACTCGGAAAAGCATAAACACAAATACTCAGGAGCACCTAGTAGCACCAGGTTTTCAGCAAACTGGGCAAAAGTGATAAAAGAGGGGGATTGGCACCCTTGCCTGCCCATGTTGGCAGCCAGGAGTGACCCTGCCCTGCCACTCAGTTTTGTTCCAGTGGTAGCTTGTCCATACAAAAGTAAAACACTAATACCAATGGGGTAGCCAGTAAAAGAAAAATATTCTAAATCCTGCCTTTTTAGGTGGGTGGTGATAGTTGCAGTCAGCTTTCACAGCAGAATTACCTGATTTCCTCTGTTCCATTGTAAAACCCAGAGGTATTTATGGTGTTAGTAAGTCATGCCCAACTCTTGGATGTGTGTTGAACAGTACAGGAGCTGTGAGTGTCACTGAGGTGGCACTTTGGAGCTTGCCTGGTAAAGCACAAGAACAAGGCAGAGAACTAAAACAAGTCCAAAGAACAGATTTGGGATTTCTGAACTACTCGAGTGGGTTTTGTTTCATTTTTACCGGCGTTCTCCTGTATGTTCTCCTCTCTGTGTGAATTGTTCTTGTTTTCTAAGTGAGTCTGTGGGATTGTTTTGGGGCAAGGGGAGTAAACAGCTGCAAAGGGAAGACTGGCAGGAGAAGGCAGGAGTTGGGAAGCAGGAGGGAGAGGTAGTGGGTACCTGCAGGGATGTGTAGAGGGCAGGGGTTTGCTAGTGCAGGGAGAGCTGGGGAAGGGCAGGTGGAGAGGTGGCCTGAGCAGAGGGGAGAGGGCAGTGGGCAAAGGTGCCCCTGTTAGGTGTTGGTTCAGTAAGTTTGTTGGTTCTACAGAGGAGGGTAATGGAGGTGCAGAGGGAGAGAGCAGGGGAGGAACTTCCCTTCCTACCCATGTCATACAGGGTACTCTGCCCCCCTGAGATCCCCCCAAGAGCTCCGTGCAGGGCTGGGGGTCTCAGCACAAGAGGGACTTGGAGCAAGTCCAGAACAGGCCATGGAGATGCTGCCAGGGCTGGAGCCCCCCCTGCTCTGGAGCCAGGCTGGGACAGCTGGGGGGTTCACCTGGAGAAGAGAAGGCTCCAGGGAGAACTTAGAACCCCTTCCAGGGCCTGAAG